AAAGGAAGCTGGAGATGTGTGACCACAGCTCAGAAAAATAAGGCTGGATATTTAGATCTGGGAATTATTTGTGCAGAGATGCTAATTGAAGCCATGGGAGCTGAGGAGATCACCAAGAAATAAATAATAGCTTTAGGGGATATCTACTGTTAGATGACATGACATGGATGAAGAACCAAGAAAGAAGACCTATGAGCAGTCAGACAGGTAGGATGAGAGATGAGGGGAGAGACATTCACAAAAACTTACAGAAGAGAGAGTATCCAAAAAGAAAGATGATCAGTGGTTTCAAATGTGGCAGAGAGGTCATGAAGGCTAAAGATTGAGAAAAGGCCATTAGATTTGGCAATTAAGAGGTCATTATTAAGTTCTGAGAGGGCAGTGTTAGTTGAATGATGAGGTTGGAAGCTAGATTGTAGAAGGTCTAGAGGCAAGCGGGATTAGAGAATGTGGAGAAACTAGTTGTACATGGATTTCTCAAAGAGCTTAGTCATGAAAGGAAGGAGCGATACAGGATGAAAGCTATGAGGGATAGTTAAAGCAATTGAGAGCTTTTGTAAGGATGGGGGAGACATGGGCATATTCGTAGGCAATACAGAAGGAGCAAGTAGATAAGTAGACATTGAAGATAAGAGAGAATGGGGATGGTGGGGGCAATCTTTTGGAGAAGTTGGGATATGATAGGTCAAGGATTCAGGTAGAGGCTTTGGCAAGAAGAAGGGCCAGTTCTTCATCAGACCCCAGAATGAAGGAGATGTCCGAGTTATGTGAGATGAGGGAGAAGGAGCTCTTGGTGAATGTTCTCAATTTTTTCAGTGAAGGTCCTCAGACAAAATTCTGAGGTGAGACAGAAGAAGGGAGAGATTGATGTGGCAGGCTTGAAGAGATACAAGAAGGAGATGTAAGCTGATGTGGAAAGTGGGACAGCAAATCAATTAAGGAGGAATAGAAGGTTTGCCTTGTGGCAGTGAGGACCCAGGTGAGATTAGATAACATAAATTTGTAATAAACCCAGTCATCACAGTTTCGTGATTTCCTCCAGTTCCACTAAACAGCAAGCAGATAGGATGGTAGAGATAATCAAGGGTTGAGGTTTGGCAAGGAGTAATCATTCAGTGGTAAGGAATTGAGTGTAGAAAATAGTGTAGCAGTGAACTGGTTCACCAAGAAGTTGAGGTAAGGAAGGGAGTAGAATGTAGCCAGACATTGAACTCATTGAGGAAGACAGGGGAGAGGTGAGGTAACCTACACAAAGTCACACAAGTAGTAGGTGTCAGAGGTCAGACTAGAGCCCAGGTCTCTCGCTTCAAGACTGGTCCCTCTACTAAATCATATTTCCTCTCTGGAACAAATAATGGCATTAACCATGCCAATGACACAGTCAGTGAGGTGGTACCATGGATAGCGCTCTGAGCCTGAAGTCAGAAAGACCTGTAGCCTCAGACACTTTGTAACTCTGGGCAAGTCACTTAACCTCTGTCTGCCTCAACTTCCTCAACTATAAAATGGGGATAACAAAAAGATAATAACAGTACCTACTCCTCAGGGCTGTGTCGAGGCTCAAATGAGATAATACTTGTAAAGCACTTTATATAGAGCCTGGCATATAGTAGGCATGCAATAAACGGTCATTCCCTTCTCCTTCCCCACTCCCATGCCTAAATGAAACCTCTCTCTCAAGAGAAATAAGCTGCCTTTATGAATGGTGTGTGGTGGGCAGGAGCAAGGGACAATATAGCATAAACAAGAAATTATGTGGAAGGGAATGTGAAGTGTGTCATCAGGGAAATGAATGCCTGTGGAAGGGGGAAATGGGTCAGTTACATAGCAACAGTGAGGGGGTAACAGATGGGCTGTCTGTGTGCTCCATTGATACCTAGAAAATGTCAAGAGAAAGCTAAAAACTTTCTCCCCCCCCCTTCCAAATAGGTCAGGTATACTCCCTATGGCAAACTTCTTGGAGGAAGACTACAGAAGTTGCCCAGGAAGAGCAGGCATGAATGGGGTGCTAATAGGATGAATGGAGGGAACCCCAAATCAAAGGGATGGTGGTTCCAGTGGACTGCTGGATTGGGGATGTCATCATTGAGGAACAGGCAAGGAATGGGGGACATACAATCAATACTTTACTAGACAGAAATAAAACTGTTAGGTATGAATGAATTTATTTAAGCTTTTGATTTTCAAATAGACTTAACAGTTTTAATTAGCACATCTTAACAACAGAATTCAATTTTCAGAATTAGAGTGATTTGCTGCTATCAGTTACAACTAGAATCTTATCAAATTTCAACAGCGCAGCTGCATTTGTAAACACATAGAAATCAAACATTAAATGTGTAGAATGGCAACCTTTAAAATATTAGAACAAAAATCTTTATCTATAGAATCTAATGGTACCCTAAAAAAATTAAACATCTACATCAACTACCATGGGAGGCAAAAAAAGCTTCCCATGTTTGCTACACAAATGTGTTAAACACTAAAGAATATTGCTCTTATATCAATATATCATCTGTTAAGTTTGTCCTCTAACTACAGGACTGGCATGTATGACAAATTAATTGTAATAGTATTTAGATTCAATCCGTAATGAAATTTAAAATATACCAAAGTATTCATGAATGATTTAAAAATTGTCCATGATGGATTGCAGCAAGTGGACAATGTGAGGAAGTATCAAGTTTCCAGGCCTCCGATTAAAATCCAACTGATTTGTTATACTATCGTACAATCCCACAGGCCTGGCCTATGGCATTAAATAGAGTAGAGAAAAGCATACTGTTGTACCACAGAATTCTGGTGTCATTGGAGTGACTGACAATCCCTTCATACAGAAACAATTGCAGAACAATGTGCACTTTTCATAGTGCAACTCCGAAATCATGGCTCAGAAAAACAGAGTTGCAAAACAATCATCTTCCAAACTACAGTAAAAAACATTTAAGGCAAATCAGATGGCTCAGATTCACTACCACACACACACTGCTGCCCCCAAGGGTTTCAAAACAGGAAATTGCATTCTTACAGATTGAAAAAGGTGTGTGCTACTACAAAGGGGGGAAATCTCAAAGAAACAACATACATTGTGAAAAAAAACATTTATTAGAATAGGTTTTTTTTTCTCTCTCCAAAATTCAAAAGGAGGTAAAGATGCTTAAAAGGACATCTCCTTTGCAAATGTGCACGTGAGAACAGTTATGGCACACGTCCCAAAGTCACAAGGCAACAAATGTAACCATCACCACTTCCAGTTGCCTTGGAACTTTGGTGAGCCTGAAGAGTGATCTGACAACCCTGGGTAGTTCAAACTACAAAAAGAGATGCTGTTGTACTATTGCGAAATAGTTAATTACCTGGTCACTAGGTTGGTTTGGTACATTATAGCCACCGAGTGAGAACAGAAATACATTGTTTAAAAAAATTAAAAGTAAAATGGAACAATTTTCTGCCCTTTTCTTTTTGGTCAAGCAAAAAGTACCACCTGCCCCCGCCCCCAACTGCCTAGACAGAGAAACAGAGATAGTTTTGAGAGAGTGAAGGTTGGGTTGAGTTGATGCCCAATTTGGGAGGTAGAATCTAAAATGGATGTTCTTGGAAAAGCAAAAAGAACCCTACATTTCCTCCCTTGGTCCCGATGGGAAAACGGAGATAGTTCCTAGGAGCACCGGCACCCATGTTGGAATTAGGGTCCATTCCACCTTAGGGCAGATGAAGCTGAGGAGGTGAGTACCATGGACAGGGAAGGGTAATTACAATTATTATTGTGCTATTTTTTCTGTAATACCAGTGGGGGGGGGCGGGGGGCCGAGGTGCAGAAATGTTAGTTCTTGCCTGCAAAGGGAGTATCCAAATACAAGGGGGAGGGGAAAAGGTTTCTATTAGCACTCCCTTAATTCAAGGGGGCCTTATCTTTCTTGTTTTACTCTAAGCGGCATCTACAAAGTAATGAAGCATGATGTTATTATTTTCCTTCCCAGAATGCCTTCTACCACAGAACCCTTCCAAATATATAGTCAGTTGACATCCGTCATCTTTATTTAATGGTATCTATTTTATGACACAAAGACTGGGAAGCAAAATAAACAGAATGCCTACACCTTAAGCCCAGATTTCACAGATGCTTCACCAAGAACGCTGCATGCATGGAGATCACATTTAAGGTCTGAGATTAACCTTGTTTAAAGTGCATGAATATTTGTGCAATTCTTCTGTCATCATGTGACATCTACAAACAGTGATATTCTAATGACTTTTAAAAAGCGTGATTTGAAAATATCCCACCCATCCACCCAACCCACCCCCCAGCATGTGCACTAGAAAAAGCTTTTTATTCTAATGTTTCACAGCCTATCAAGACCATGTGATACAATTTCATTCTTCCACGGTCCATTGAAGAGGGTTGGTGCTCAATCAACTGGTTTGGCTGCAGAGGTTGAAAATGCACCTTATCCTTAATTATTAATAATAACAGCTGGCATTTTTATAGCACTTAAAAGTTGGCAAAGCGCTTTACAAACATAATCTCATCTGGTCCTCACAGCAACCTTGTGAGGAAAGTGTTAGTTATTGTCATCCCCATTTCAGAGATGAGAAAACTGAGGCTCAGAGTGGTAAAGTGACTTGCCCAGGGTCACACAGTAAGCAAGCATCAGAGGCAGGATTTGAAACCAAAGTCTCATCTGTCTCCAAGTCTGGCTCTCTAGCCATCTTCTTACACTGTCTTTTAAATAATAACTAACATGGATCTGATTGGAAAATCCTGGTGGACAGAAATCATGTCCTCTGCACTTAATTCTCAAGTAAAGAGAGGTGTTTAATAAATGCTTAGTATGATGATGATCACCACCAGGATGCTTGAATTGTTGCAAAGGGCCCAATTTTCCAAAACATACTGGAGGAAAAAAAGCAATGCTTACACTAACTTATTGAGAGTTGGAAGGGATGGAAGAAGCCATCCAGTCCAACCCCCTCATTTTACACATGAGGAAATTGAGGCTCAGAAATATTAAGTGACTTGTCCAAGGTCACTCAGGTAGTAAGTGGCAGAGGAAAGATTTGAAACCAGGGACTCTGGATACAAATCCAACACTCTGCCTGCCATTAATCCGATTGTGATTGCAATGGAAACTAATTATGGTTAGCAAAAAATGTTTCCCAAAGTACATGGGCGCTTAAAATCAAGGATTTGTCTTTGCAAATTAAGCCCTTTTTTGCAAGCACAGGCCCAAAGTGGATTTAAATTTCTTTGTTAGCAAGCACTTTATAAAACAAAACAAAACCAAACCCCAAAAAAAGGTGTTCGTGTGCCCTCAAAGCTACTCTGATTAGTTATGGTGATGAATGGGGTGAAATAAAAACTCATCACATGTTTCATTTCTTGGACCCTGCACTGAATTGCGCTAAAAATTAATGTAATTAATTTTCTCCTGAGTTCAAGATCAAGACTTATGGCTCTTTTAATAGATTTAAAATGCTGATGTTATGGAAAAGGCAACTCTGATTCTTTCTATTCAAGATGATATGTCCACACCCCACGAAGGTCATGTGAGAAATATAGCAAACGTTTGTGACCTGAGCACAGAGGTGTTTGCCCATTTTGCACTCAGTCCAAGGCTTGCATTCTTTATTAATACTGTATTGTTTAATAAAAAGTTGACTGAAGCATGTTGATCTAAATGGCTGTAAAAACGCGCATTTCGATTGCTGTTCTGCCTGCAAGGACACAGCCATCCTCTCTTCTTCCCTCCTCTCTTCAAGCAGAGAGCTGGTCAAATTGGGATCCATCTACCTCTCTTGCCCAGTGCTAGAGTCAACAGCGGCGATCAGTGGATTTGGAGAAAATGTGACTCATTAAAAAAGCATTTGCTTTGAGGTGGGGAGGTAGAGAGGGAAAGGCAGACCCAATGCCACCTCCAAAGGGTGCGTTCTGCTCTAGATGGTAGAAACTGAGACAGGTTAAAAAAAAGTCTTGGATTCAGCCTGTGTCGTTGTCTTGAAATGCTTCTGGCGCCCTCTTTTCAGTTTTCTAAATTGCACAAATGAAATACATTCAATTCAGACATTGTGTTGAGCATGACTGTCTTGAAAACAAGGAAAGAGACCCTGCAACTAAGGGACCTATGTCAAGGCCATTATTTATGGTCTTAGTGCCTTGATTTGCATCTTGTACAAACTTAGATCCAGACTAGTCTAAATCTAATGCGGGAGGAGCTGCTCTTAGAACATGGACTTACTGGTAAAGAGTGTTCCTTGGTAGGGAACCCCAAGAGCTACACAAGGCCAATCATTCGATTCACTTTGAGGACAATACAAAGCCTCACCCTACAGACTACAGATGAAGCACAGTAATGTGGATGGAAATAAGGCTCTCACTTACAAGGAAATATGCTTATTCCTTCCAATGGTGGCTTTGTATAGACCATATGTGACTTGCACCAGGGAAGGTTTACAAGTGGATTGATTTGTAGAATAAAATTTTTATGTCTTGGAGGCACACACACACACACACACACACACACACACACACACACACACACACATCGGAGGGAAGGGCAGGGACATCCCTGTGCAGATCATTAACTTAGACTCATAGATTTAGAGTTAGAAGGAACCTCAAAGGTCAACCCTGCCCCCATCTTCCAGATGAGGTAACTGAGGTCCACAGAGGCCAAATGATTTGTCTGAACCGACTTAGCTAGTAAGTGGTAGAGCCTGAATTTGAACTCAGCTCTTTGGAATCCAAATCCAAGGTTTCCTTTGGTTCACTCTGTTTTTCCCCAGAGATATCAGTCACAAGTTAGACAAAAATGTATATGCCCCTACTATGACTTCAGCAGGCCAATGGGAGTGACATTGAATAATATCAGAAAACAACACTCCTGGTACCACCCAGAACAGAGGAGAAACATTTGATGAGATTCTCAGCATGAGATTCTCAAGCAGGTCAGGCCACACCTATAATATCTACCACCTCTTTCTTGAAGGTTCCCTCAACAAGATAAAATGTCTTGTGTTTCGGAAGGCTCTCTCAACCATAATAGCTCTGGGCAAGGGGGGAGGAAGTTTAGCTTTCAAAAAGAAAAAGGAAAATCTAATATTAAAGCTATCAAAGAAAAATAAAAGCTCCCAATCCCCAATGCCCCAACCCAACTCACACATTTGCAGATATACTTCCAAGGGCCAAACTGTTCCTCCTGTATGCTTAATTGGCATGCAGTATGACATAGAGGCAACTTAGTTACATCTATGATCTGGCCTTAAAAGCAGCTAACAGATGAACTCACATAATACCTTCAGTTTGGGCCTTCAGAACCCTACTGGCCCAGATTATACTCTGTGAACTGTGCCCCAGGATCACACCTTCTTTTCTTCCGTTGGGATTTTTCACCGACCTTTAAATGATAAATGAATTAATGGCCAACAAAAGCAAACGTGTGCTAATTAAGAACCTAAACATGGAACACAAATGTTTACCCAGCAACCTGGACCCTCTTCCAAGCTTCAGTGAGTATATGTTCAATGGCAAGTTGACCTTTGACAGAGGAAATACTTAGATCTGTAATGGCTATTTGTAATGGTCCTTCATTACTTTTTAGACTAGTTCATGGTCTCTTGGGGACACAGTATCCAGTTAATAGAGGACTCCAGTCCAAACGAATGACTCCATCAAGACCAAATGTTCTTTGGAACTGCACGAAAGCATCAGAATTTTGTCTCAGAGCGTGAAAGGCTCCCCTTCTGAAGATCACAAAATCATAGACTTTGTCAGCAGCTGTGCTGTCCTGCCCATCTTGTATTCTTTTATGCTAAAACAAGGTCCTCAACCAAAATACCTCAGTAAAGAGCACAACATAAAGTCGGGCTGACGTGAGCAGACAGGATGTCTGCACTAAGTCTGTATTCAAAGCTGATAGCAGGGGAGTGGTGGCTTATTGGGAGAAGTGCCAAGCAGGACTCAAAGTGAATCAATGCAATATACCGCAGCTATTTGTCAGTCCAGAAGCCTTAGCCAACACACTCGGACAGAGAGGGGAAATCAACAAGAGAGACATGGGCTCATTGCGAACCCAGCTCTCAAAGCACTTTGCCCAGGTCTCTGCCAAGCACAGTTTTTCTTAACTGTCAGGAGAGGTCACCCTCAACACCAGGTTTGTGCTCAGACAGGGGAAATGAATCCCGTCCCTGATAAGAAACATGACTCCTCTGCTTCTTAGCATTGGAGGCACCAAAGAAAGGTTAACAAAGGTCTAGCATAAGCAAAAAGGGTGATTTTGTACCAATGTCCCCTAGCAAGAGGGAAGGAAAGGCATTTCTGGCATGACACCTACCCTTCTGCCTCACCATCCTCATGTAGGAGTGAACAGGCATCCCCATTTTTAATCAGCTGATCATCCGATTCTTTCTTCTCACATTCTGTAAGGGCTTTATACTTTCTTGGAGACTGGAAAGTTGTTTGGAGAAAGCATGTTACAGACAAGCTCTGTGGCCATAATCTGGCACAATTACATTCTCTGTGACATAAGTTATAGGGAGAAGCTGGACTTGGAAGCATTAGGTTGGCAGGAGTAAAGATAGAGACATCGATGGCACAAAGCAGAGGGAGAAAGGCTTAGCATAAAGAATACATTTTTATTTGAATAGCAATTCTTCTTTAGCCAGAGACAGAAAATAATAGAACAACTAAATTCTGAATTACATCATTTCTAAGAATAAATCTTGGAAACATTTTCTTTTTTTTTTTTTTTAAATTTTAAAATACTGCACTGGTAAACTGATCTCATGAAAAATTCCTTTTGGCACATATGAAAGGCAACAACTGTGGACGATAGATTTACAAACCAACGGGACTCTTGGGCTTTGCCCTCTACTACACAGGCTTCAATGAGAGGGTCCCATCAAAAGCTTCCAAAAGCACAATATCCTTCCTTGCTCAACCTCAGCTGTTTGGTGATGTGATTTCAAAATGAACCCATCCATACAGCAAACACCCCAAGGCACACTGACTGTACTGAGCTCGAGAGTGGACAGGGAACAGAAACAAAGCATCATTTGCACAAGCAAAAGCACACTGGTATGAGAATTCACTCAGCAGAAGCCCTCAGACATTGAGATCACTTCAAAGTGCAACCAAAAAATTCAAATACAGAAAAAAAAAAAACAAGAACCTCTCAGTCAATGATCTGCTTATCCACAGAAATGAGACTGAAAACAAGGTCCACGACAAAATCAGGGCTGCAAATCTCTTGAGAAATAGGTTTTCCAGACAGGCTCAACAGCACAAGGGAGAGAGCTAAGGGTTAATCCGCATAGAGGTTGCACCAAAGTAAGGCACCTATGAGACCAAGGCACAATGGCAGAACCTCTACAGATGAGCTTGGCACCCAGGCCGGAGTCCACAGAGCCAGCTCTTCACTGGCCACTGCTTGGAGCAGTAGCATGGAGAACTCAGAAAGACAGATAATCCCCAAAGTCAGATTTTGCCTTTGAAATTCATCATATTACTATCTTTGCAGTGTCTCAACCTTTGGGAACCAGGTTTAGCAGTTCCTTATGACCAGCCAGTGAGGGCTCAGGCCATGCAGTTGCGGGGAATATATCAAACAGTGGCCACGGATCACCCCAACTGAACAGATAACCTTTGCACAGATCATTAGCAGTGGACAGCAGGGGTCTCCGAATCCCCCATTTATAAGCAAGAAAGGGTAAAGAGAAGGAAAGCACTCTCTTGCTTGGGCTCTAATGAACTGCTACTGACAATGCTTTTTAGGGAAAAAAATATGCCTTACATTTTGCAATATTCCACATTAGGATTTATGACTTGCCATAAAACTTTAATCAATCATGAGATATTTGTTCCCTTGCAGACACTGCAGGCTGAGACAATGCCAAAGTTAAAAAGACTTGTCAATTCTGGCTTCTCCATGTGTTGATTAGCTGCGGCCAACTTCCCTGGGATGCTCTGCACACATTTGGGCTTCATACCACCACCACCCTCTCCTACCTCAGTCATTTGGTGTTGGCTCACAAAATGCTGATTCTTCTCAATGTTACTTTAGATCCTTTGGAAGGACATGAGGCTGAAAATCCCAACTAGAAAGATGTGGGTGGATTTATAATACATCCCCAAGTTTAAGAGAAGCATCTATGCCCTGATCCCCTTTCCTTTGACCTCAAAAGCATCCCACTAAGTTAGCCCCATGGGCCATCTGACCCAATAGAAAGGGGTTTTCCCTGGACTGCCCCCCAAGTCTGGAATGCTCTCCCTTCTCATCTCCTCTTGCCATCCCTAACTCCCTTCAAGGCTCAGCTCAAGTACCAGCCTCCACATGAGAGTGTAGGTTGATCTGTACTTAACAGACTTATGTACACGCTACATATCTCCCCCCCAGGAGAATGTAAGCTCCTTGAGGACAAGTGCTGTTTTATTCTTGGCCTTTGCATCCCCAGTGCACAATCCACAAGCATTTACTAAGCACCTGCTATGTGCCATGCACCGTGCTAGGTTCTGAGGATAAAAATATCAAAATGATACCGCCCTTGCCCTCCAAGAGCTTATCTTCCAAGGACAGAATGGCACATGGTAGCCACACAATAAACACATGGTAAAATAAAGGAATGGTAACTGTTCTCCATACTGCTGACCTCAGAAGGTTAGGGCTATTCCCCCCCATAATAGCCCTAATCCCATGCTAAAGGCCCATTGCTAATCAGCCGTGGATATATCCTACCAGGATGACAGGCTCCAGATGTTTGCTGTCTCGTATAAAATGTTCATTTTGGCTAATTTTTTTTAGCTGGAAGGACCATTTGCAACCATCCGAGCTAGGCAGTGTTGCAAAGTGGCTAATGTGCTGGCCCTCAAATCAGGCAGTTCTGAGATCCGATACCATCTCTGACCCTTATTAGCTGCATGGCCATGGGCAGATCACATCACTTTTCTGAATCTCAGTTTCCTGATCTTTAAAATAAGGGAAATAGCACCTAACCTCCCGGGATTGTTGTAAAGCCCAAATGAGAGAATAGAAATGCCAAACATTATAACTATTCTTATCCTCTGGTTCAATCCCTTAATTTTACAGCTCAGATGCCGGGAGGAAGAACATGTGAGCCAAGTCTTGAAGGAAGGGGTTTCAACAGGCAGAGGTTTGGGGGCAGAGCACTGTAAGACATTATGATGGAATGAAGTGAGCCCAGGACTGTGAGTTGGGACACAATGTAGTTCTAACGGTTGGGAATTTGGGATGTTCAGCTTATCAAAATCCTTCCTTAGGACATTTATCTGAAGATGGACAGTGGTACATCCACTCCTACCCTGTGTATTGTTTTATTGTGGTCAAACATGATAGAACATTTATTGATTTGTTTATTTTAGAGCCAACACTTTGGAGTCCCAGTGGTAGCTGTGATCGACTGATAAGACAAAAGGCAATTATTTGTAAAGCTTCTGTAAATTTCATTTGGTCTCAGCTTCTACCTCCCTTGTCTGGTTAGAAAAGAGCCGCAAAGCTTACCAAATGATGACAACTGGCCAATTCCAAGTGACCTGGGATAGTGTACTCAGTGGACAGACCTGAAATTCTAGGACATTAATCTGGTCAACCCCAGGGGGAGTTCTCTATATCTAGACAAATCAGGATCATGTGAGGAGTACTTCCATGCAGTTAATAAAATCAAGTTCACATTCTTTCTGCATGGGGTATACCTCATGATCTCAGTGATATAGAGAAACTACCCACCAGAGCTGGCCTCCTTTTCTCTTTAATATGGCCTCAACACCTTTTATTTCAATGTATCATCACTAACCAATTGGCTCCCATCTTCCTCCTCTGTGTCTGAACAAGCCAACAGGAAGCTATTGTTAGCCCATTCCTCCAGGCTTTCACCGAGTTCTATGATCAGTGATGTTCTTGAGGAACCTGAAAGAGAAATACAAAAAGCTGAAGCTTCTGACTTCGGTCTTTCCTTCTGTTGTAAATCAGCTTCTTATGTACAAGCACTGTGCTAGGAAGCTTTCTTAGTCCAAGATTAGGACCTTTTCATGGCAAAGCCTCCAATGGGCTTTCCACAAATTTGGCCTGAATGGTTAAGGTTGCAACTAGCCACATTAATGGTTTGTTAAGAGAATCCAGGGCTTAAATGGGATTTTATAGGAGGAAGCTGAACCTCCTTAAGTGGACATGTCATTTATCAGCACTTCAGATGGCATAAGTTTGCCAAAGTTGTAGACAATGAATGACCAACTACAAATGATTCTTATCTGTCCATTAAAGCAGGATGAGCATGATATCTTTGTGGAAGAAAATGTTAGCCAGGCTCAATCACTATAAATAGAAATTTGAAGATAAGATAGTTGTCTTCAAATGCTTGGAAGGCTATCACATGGAACAGATATTGGCCTTGTTCTGGTTGGCAGAGCGCAGCACCAGGAGCCATGGAAAGCAACAGGGGTTTAACAGCCCTGATGTGTATCTATGTGGATATCACTCAATGAGAATGGTGCTAGAAATCCATTTGATTGAAGCTAGTGCTTCTGATTTGGATTATAGTTGGAATTTATTTCAATTTCTGACACAGAGAGGTAGATCCAGGCTGGAGGGCAGGAAAAACTTTCTGACAATGAGAGCTAGTCCAGAGTGGAATTGAGCTGCCTGAAAATGTACTAGATTGCTCCTCACTGAAGGTCTCTAAGCAGAGGCTGGACAGCCATTGGTCAGGGACAGTCCACAGAGGGGGCTTGTATTCAGCTTTCATGGCCTCTGGGATCCCTTCCAACTCTGACATTCTGTGATTTGATGGCAGGGCCTCCAGCCCTCTGAAGGGTCATCATAAAGAAGAGCAATTAGACTTGGTCTGCTTGGCCTCAAAAAGCAAAACTAGAAAGAATGGGGAGAATCTGTGAAATTAGGCAAATTTAGGCAAAATTAGGCTTGGTGAGAATAAAAACAGCCTTACAATTCTAGCTAAGTCAATTGCACTACTGCTCTGGGGAAAGGAATGAGTTCTCTTTCATGAAAAGTGTTCAAGCAAAGACTAGATGACCACTCATCAGAGATTCTGTGGAAGAATTCTTGTCTAGGCACTGCCTCTGAGGATCCCTTCCAACTCTGAGATTCCATTAGATTCTAAGTAAAATAATTTAACTGCCTTTCTCTAAATCAATTGATTGCATAATTGAGTCTTTTCCACTAAGTCACACTGGCATCCCCCTCCCTATTAGTCCAAATGAGACTTTATGAACTTTTCTATCAGCTATGCAGATTTATCTAGTTTCTAGCAGACCAGATGGAAAAGGGCCCATTTGATTTAAGGGGAGAAAGGGGAATAAGAGAAAACTTTGTGAGCTCGTAAATACTCTTCACACTTTGCTTGTTAGATCGGCTGGCGCTGTAGCCCTAACAGCCAGTGATGAGCTCAATTCACATCATAAACATTATGGTCCTCGACAGGCAGAGCAATTCTCCAGAAAAACACCTGGAGACTCAGACCTGCCCAGACTCGACTCATCTGTGTGACTGAATGAGAAGGGGCTTATACATACTTCTGCTTGTTTTAGTCTGAGGTGACAGAGCCAAATTGTCCGACGTCACAGGGCTCGTGTGGTCAGATTCATTTTCTTCAGAGCTTATGGAAACTCGCTGCTGCGTTCTGAAATATTCACCGGGTAAAGATAATCAATCAATCGGAAATTTAATTCAATTCACCAAATACCTTCGAAGCACGTCTCACATGTGAAGGAAGCACTGTTCTAGGTTCCAAGGAGTAAGAGGAACAAAATAAAAAGTCCTCATCCTCAAAGAACTTAAAAGCTATAAGGCCATTTGGAAAGCAACAGGGGTTTAACGGCCCTGATGTGTATGTACTTGGATATCACTCGATGAGAACGGTGTTAGAAATCCATTTGATTGAAGCTAGTGCTTCTGATTAGGATTTCAGTTGGAATTTATTTCAATTTCTGGTACTCCTTTAGTTAAGGATGACATATCAATTTAAATTAAGTTTCGGAACTCTTGAGTCTTATGCTTAAAAAAACAACTAAGCTGTTTCTATACAAGAGACAAGCTAGACAATTTAGCCCACTTCAAATTAATCTATTTAGTGAAAAGTTCGGAGAAGCTTTTGTTTTCTTGGCAAACACAATGGCTGGTGGTTATTGTGTTATGTTTACACCATTATCATAATGGAAAAAAATATTTTTGTTCCAGTTGCCTGGGAGAGCCGGGTCATTATAAGCCCCTCTGGAGCCTCTTAAAGGTATATTCTCCACTCTCCATATTGCCTGAGTTCCCCTTCACTACAAATCTTCAAGTAAACGTTGAATGATTCCTTGACAGCACTAGGTTAGAATGAACAGAGCTTGGTCCCAAATAGTCACTAAATGAGTACCTACTTATAAAGAAAAAAATCAGCTAATGCCTAAGGCTGTCTGAAGGTGGGTTGGGTTGACTTCATCTCCTCTCCACTATTGCCTCTTTCCCAGAGAGCCTCCCCAGTAATGGCCTTGTATCAATGCCCTGGGGTCTTAATTGAGGGGTACTTTGCACTGCTTGACCCAGGCAGGCTTCAAAGTACTTGACAGAAAATCCTAGTTATGGCTCCACTTATCAGGTATGTTCTGTTTTGGGGGGGTGGTGCTTGTTGAAGTAGAGGGGAGACCAGAGGAGTCCCAGATCCCTCCTGATCCTGATAATCCAAGTTGGTGCATCTGTGTCCAGGACGCTGCTATACATCAAACCATAGGTTATAAACCAGCAGGTTTCATTCATTAATATGCAAGAAAAACCTGAGCTCCCCAGGCAAGGATACTGGGGAAAATCCATGTTGCTGAGCAGACATTTAGCTTTAATGAATTAAGTAAGGTGTGCATATAAATGAAGCTTGGACCTTAAAAGAGTTCTAGTTGGTTTTTCACCAGCTGTTAAGAAGTCAATTACTGCATCAAATCTAGCAGCCTTTAATCCTATTACTTACGGTCAAAGCCTGAGTAGTGAAAAAAGTATTGAGTGCCCAGAAGGATGAAGACCTCCTGTGTACCTCTGGCAAGGCTCTGAGAATGAATCAGCCAATGCTCCCCTAGCTTTGGCAACCTCTGAAAGGCCGTGTACAAACCAGGAGGAAAACAACGTTTGGTGCTGTTGATCTGTGGCACCTACAGATGCTGGATCAGGAATTTCTAAAAAAAACAACTGCTTATAAATCTCCAGGCCAGGATTTCAAAAGGTTTAACTCTTGTTGAATCCTACACAAATATTCTTAGAAGAAGAAAAAACACAAGGGTGCCGTGCTGTCAGGTCAAGAACTCTGGGTGCAGCAATGGAGAAGGAAACATTGAGCCCTTCTCCCTGTACTTGGAGAGTAGTAAAAAGAATCTCAGAGGGTTAGAGGAAGCCTGAGGCTAAGGGCCGCAACTGAGTCTTCTGAAAAATATATGGGAACTGAGGGAAGACTGAGGACACATCGGGAGGTTCAGTGGGGTTAGTGGAGAGCTTTGCATTCAATTCTATTCTGCATCCCATTACAGGTCAACCTAGCCATTGGAACGGCTGTATCCAGCATTAGTCCCCAAAACTCCAGCCTTGGCCCTGTCCAAAGGCTTGGGGAGAACCAAAAGCTGGGGAAATAGCAATGTGTGTATGTCTCACCCCTGCTGAGATGGAGTCAACGAAAGCCTCTGGATGATGTGTCTCTCTGCAGAGCACTATTCTAGGGGCAGGTGGGGAGGAGGAGGTGGTACTGAGTAATTCTGCTACATTGTCACAGCCCTCCAGGAATACGTGACCACAGCAGCACTAGAGCAAGAGCGTTTGAGTCTCAAAGATAGGTTCTCTCCCAGCCTTGCGTTGGATGTAGCTAAATCACTTTTACCACTGCCACCTTGCCTTTTCCCCTCATTAACCAGGTCTTTCCCAGCTCTGACATTCTAGGCCAGAAGATTGGTTTGAGAAGGGTTCAAGATTTCTCTCCCAGCCAGTGATCAGAGGATCAGAGTTGGGATCATCTAATCTAAACATCTAATTTTATAGAGGAAGATGCTGAGGTCCAGAGAGAACAAGAGACTTGCTCCAAGCACACAGGTAGTAGCTGACAGAGCCCATTAATCATGGCCCTAGCTGCAATCTTGGAGGACCTGAGATCAGTATGACTTCTTGAGGAGAAGCATAACTGTGTCCCCTCAACCTATCCCCCATTGCCATGCATGCCTCCCTTATTCTCAAATCACATCCTCAGCCAAGTACAGACTTTAAGGGAGCTATCTCTCACTGTGACACAGGGCAAAGAATGGAACTGTCTGGTAGTAAGGGGAAAGAGCATCAAATTCTGAGTCCAAGGACCTTGGACTTAGCTTTGGTACTCTCTTTCCCTCTTTGATTTTCAGTTTCCTCCTCTGAAAATGAGAAGGGGTAGCTAGGGGGGATCTGAGACTAAATCTAGCTCTTCACTTATGAAATTATGACTTTCAGAGAAATGTTCTCAATCCTATAATCCCATAGTCTCTTGGCTAACCCATATACTACATCTAAACTCCCTGTCCTGGTATTGAAGGAAAGGAGTTTAGAAAATTCAGAAGTATGATTTGAATGAAGTGAGAAATATGAGATCAAGACTGGCCAGTCTATAGGGGTGAGGAGTAAGAAACTTAGCTAGAAATGCGTGACATGGCAAAGAGCTCTGTGCTCACTAGCTCCAAGTGAGAAGATAAAGCAAGCACAGTTACTGGTCTAGAAAGTCCATCTGCACCCCTGTGGCTGCTGTACCCTGGGCAACCATGTCCTCAGCCCTTTGTTAGCCATGACACTGTCCCACAAATCAGGGCAGACTTTCTAAAATTCCATCCCCACCCAATAGCTAGAGGTGGTAGAGAGGTCAAATGGCTAGCAGAGAGGAAAGGGGAAGCTCAAAAAAACTGTCAGTCTTCCATCCAGTCTGCTCTATTCAGAAGCAGAACTCTCCCTAAATTTATACCACTCTTCTGGAAATCAACTAACTGAATCCTAAGGAGGCTGTGCAAAGGACATGATAGCAGCCATTACATCTGGGGGCCTCCCCAAGAGTTATTGCCCTGCAGCTCCACAACCCCCACCACCATGACTTTCTGACAACTTAACGCCTGGCCTCGGGTATGCAAAGCAATTCGCATATGCAAATTGATCCAGCCCATTGCCTAGTGTCCAATTGCCGCAACTGTTGGACGCCATATGGCCCCATACTCAAGCACAGAATGAGGAAACTGATGCAAGTTTTGCCTTTGATGAGTGACTGTTGGGCTGCAAAGGGGTGGTGAAGGACAAAGATGGTTCCATGCCTCTGTTTCTCCATTCCAGAGAAGATATACTAGGGAAAGGGGCAGCAGTAGCCCTGAAATTACTTACCCCTCAGTCAGCTGAGGAACAATTGAAATGGGCTCTGCAGCCTGGTTCTGCTGCTGCCTCTCAACTGCAAAGAGAACCCAGAATTCCAGGGGTTACCAATGACCACAGAAAGGCTGCCATTTCCTATTTTATTCAAGGACTAGCTATGGCTTAGATAAAAATTATTACCACTGGGTAAAACTGCACTAATTCTGACTGACTGAGAAGAACAAGTAGGAGATCATGAAAGAATTCAACCATGCCCTGGTTCCCCACTCCCCAACAAGAAATGGTATTTTGGGGGCAGTTAGGTGGTGCAGTGGACAGAGCACCGGCCCTGGAGTCAGGAGGACCCAAGTTCAAATCTACCCTCAGACACATAACACTTACTAGCTGTGTAACTCTAGGCAAGTCACTAAACCCCATTGCCTAGCAAAAAATAAAAATAAAAAAGACATAGTATTTTTTTTTTTTTGGTGAGGCAATTGGGGTTAAGTGACTTGCCCATGGTCACACAGCTAGTAAGTGTCAAGTGTCTGAGGCCGGATTTGAACTCAGGTCCTCCTGACTCCAGGGCTGGTGCTGTATCCACTGTGCCACCTAGCTGCCCCAGAAATAGTATTTTCTGACCATATAAACAGCTCCAGACCATACTTCACTTCCCAGCACCCTGACATCTTGCCATCAGACTTGCAGCTGAATGGGGAGCACTCCTCATTTAGACCAGGTTACTTTCATTTCTTGCTTCGGGAAGCAGTAATCAAATAAACACTACCATTGCTCCCATAAATCCACTGCCCAATGACCCCACACTCAACATCCCAGTGCCTTCTCAGACCAAAATTCCCATCCCTGCCCATTCCTCCTCTGCGTGAGTTTTCTCTCCCCAATTAGAAGGTAAGCACCTAGAGGGCAAGGGCTGTCTCACTTTTGTCTTTGTGTTACTAAAGCCTAGAACAAGTACTTGGCACATAATAGGTATTTTTTTTAATTTTTATTATGACTTGCAAGTCCCAAAGTCTACCTGCATTCTTGAAGACTATGACAGCAGGCAGCAAACTCTGATAGGTCCTCTCAATCTGAAGAGGGCTGGGGTGTGAACCTGGTGAAAGGCTGTGTGGCTGCTGCCTGAGGATGACCTGCATTCAGTGCCTCATCCTGCCACTTACTGTGACTTTAGGCAAGTCACTTAACCTCTGTGAGCCTCAGTTTCTTCATCTGTAAAATGAGACAACTGGACCTGATGTTCTTTATGGTCTCTTTCAGCTCAAAATCTGTAATCCTATGAAATATTGAAAAGTTCATCACCAGTAGATTGCTCACAAGGTGATGAATTATCAAGAATTTCTGGTCAGAAAATTAGATTGAAGCTAATACCATAAGTATAGTGAAACTGACCAGCTGTCAAAGCAACCCATCCTAAAAAAAAGCTACAAAAAAAGGATAGAAATGGGGGAAGATCTCCCAAAGCCCTGCTCACAGAGGCACCAAGAGAAAACATAACTGATTGTTATCCAAGAGAGCCAGATTGGATATCAGAGGACTTGAGTTCAAATCTTCTTTCTGCTAGGACTACCTAAGTGATGTTGGGCAAGTCATTTGTTACGTACTCACTATGTGCCAAGCACTGCACTATATTTGGATGCAGAGTCAGAGGACCTGGGTTTGAACCCTGGCTCTGCCACTTACTACCTGAGCAATCTTGGAAAGTTAGTTCATCTATCTGTGCCTCAGTTTCCTTATCTGTAAAAATGAGGAGGTTGGACTAGTTGACCTCTCTGTAGGGGCTGCCACTTGAGTTGTGTTTCTGAGGAAACTAAAGAGGAGGGAGCACATTTCCAGCAGGGCAGACAGCTGGTGAAAAGGCATGAAGATGGGGATAGAGTGTTGTATATAAGGAACAAGGAGAAGGCCAGTTTGCTGGACTGAGATTGAATAAAGGGGAAGAATCTATAAGAAGTCTGGAAAGGTTTGGAAGGGCCTTAAATGTCAAACAGAGCAGTGCGCATTTGATTCTAGAGGTAATAGGGAGCCACTGGAGTTTATTGAGGGGGGAGTAACACAGTCAAGCCCATGTTTGGGGAATATATTTATACTGAAATATATTTCCATATTTTGGAATATATCTTGGAGCACTATGTGGAGGATGGATTGGAGAGAGGGCAAGACTGGAGGCAGAGAGAGCAATTGTCTTTGAAGTAGTCTAAACAAGAGATGATAAGAGCTGAAACTAGGGAGGTGGTCACATGAGTGCAGAAATGTTGCAGGGGCAGAAAAGCCTTAGGAACAGAATCTATACTCGGGGTAAGAGGGAGTGAGATTTCCAGGATGACTCCAAGGTCATCCATCTGGGTGACTGCAAGGATGCTGGGACCCTGGAAAGAAACAGGGAACCTCACAAGGGTGGATCTGTAACAGAGAGAAACTGCACAGTTTCCTGTACAATCTTCTTCTTGCCATTCTACTATGTTTGTAGAAATGCCCATTTTATTTGGTGTTTGTTAAGTTCAAAATAAAAATAGTTCATCAAAGAAGAAGAAGAAGAAGAAGAAGAAGAAGAAGAAGAAGAAGAAGAAGAAGAAGAAGAAGAAGAAGAAGAGGGATTGGGGACAGCTAGGTGGAGCAGTGGATAGAGCACTGGCTCTTGTGACAGAAGGACCTGAGTTCAAATCTGACCTCGGACACATAACACTCACCAGCTATGTGTGACTCTGGGCAAGTCACTTAATCCCAGTTGCCTCACACACACAAAAAAGTCCAGTCCAAGTAGAGGAGTAGCCCCACTCCCTCCTCAGCCCAGCCCCAAGCCAGTTCTTAGCACCAACATTACCTTTGATACGTTCTTGTTGCCTGATCAAAATTTTCCTGATTTCAGTCAACCAGGCTGCCTTTGATTCTATTGTTTGGGCCTAAAAAGGAAGGATAAGATGACATTCAGTGACTTCCTGGAATCCAGTTTCGGAATGATAGAACAAAGGAAAATAAGAGGTAGCCAGCAGAGAGCATTCTCTAGGAATTCCCAAGTTCTGTATTTAAAGTCACTGAACCTGACCAGTTGGCCCCGCCATCTTCAGCAGGAATCATCAGACCAGTTTCAAGTTATCCCTGAACTGGAGGCATAATTCCCTAAACCAACACAAAATGTAAGCTTTCATTGTTCATGTGTGTATGTGTGTGTATGTTGTATGTGTGTTATACAGGACGGTATCTTTCAATAGTCTTATTTTTATTTTTGGAGATGATCAAATCCAACTCCTTTTATTGTTGTGCCCCCTTTTAATTTTGCTTTTAAAAGATGAAAGAAAAAAAGAAACAAGCAAGTATTTATTAAGTGCCTACTATGTGCCAGGCAGTTTGCTAAGCACATTACAAGTATTATCTCATTAGATCCTCACAACTCTGGGAGGTAGGTGCTATTATTATTCCCATTTTATAGTTGAGGAAACTGAGGCAGACAGAAATGTAGTGACTTGCCCAGGGTCACACAGTCCATAATTATTTTAAGGTCAAATTTTAACTCAGGTCTTCCTGATTCCAGGTCTAGTGCACTACTCACTCTGTCACCTAATTGTTGCTTAAGAAAAACAAACCAAAACAAAAACATTTTGCTTCTGGGCTGACAATTAAAACTTCATTTGGGGCATTTGGGGAGGGGAATTCTACTAGTTTGTGAAGGGCTGTAAGTTCCTAGATCTAGAACCTCTGAGGCCATTAAGTCTAACTCCTTATATAACAGAGGAGGAAACTGAGGCCCTCGGAGGTAAAATCACTCACCTAAGGTCACACAAATAGTAAGGCAGGATTTGAACCCAAACAGTCTGACTCCATCACCATTCTTTTTGTCCATTGTATTCCACTGCAAATAAGTTACATGGAGTTGCCTAGGCCTGGGCACTGAGATGTTAAAGGATTTGGCCAGGATCAAGAGGCAGGATTTGAACCCCAATCTTCTGCCTGCAAAACCAACACTCTAGACACTATACCAGGTTGTCTCTACTCACTGTAATGATTTTGTTAAAAGTTATCAATAACTCTGCTAAAGGAACATAAAATGTTTAAACCAAAAATGTTGTGGTATAGCCATTTTTCAATTGTGTCCAACTCTTTGTTGATCCCATTTGGGGTTTTCTTGGCAAAGACACTGGAGCCATTTGCCCTTTCCTTCTCCAGCTCATTTTACAGATGAGGAAACTGAGGCAAATATGGTGAAGTGATTTGTTCAGGGTCACACAGCTAGTACATGTCTGAGGCCAGATTTGACTCACAAAGATGAGTCTTCCTGACTCCAAGTCTCTCATTTTTACGCTGAGTCACCTAGCTGCCCCAAACCAACAATAGCAGCACAGAATTGTATTTACTGCTGAAAAGAAAGGAAGGAAGAGGGGGAAGAAAGGAAGGAAGGGGGGAAGGAAGGAAGGAAGGGGAGGAAGGAAGGAAAGAAGGAAGGAAGGAAGGAAGGAGGGAGGGAAGGAGGGAGGAAAGGAAGGAAGGGGGAAGAAAGAAAGAAAGAGAGAGAGGGGGGAGAGAAAAAGAAAGAAAGAAAGAAAGAAAGAAAGAAAGAAAGAAAGAAAGAAAGAAAGAAAGAAAGAAAGAAAGAAAGAGAGGAAAGGAAAAGAAAAAAATACTCAAAATATATATACTCTTCCATTGAGTGGCTCTATGTTTTGCCCCACCCACTTCCCCCCCAAAAAAAAAATTAGTTAAAGCGTTGGTGACAAAGATCTAGTTTCAAATGGCAACCCCTAGATGAACTGACTTTCCTTCTCCTCTCCTTCCCTGAAAGAAGAGAGCTGAGGGGAGCTTGTGGCATACCTGGCTGGGGTCTCAATCACGTGTCTGATAAGAAGAGGCCAAAATCTGGGCTGCCACAGCTTTGTGGTCTTGTAATTGTGTCAAGTACTGCCTGGTGACTACAAAAAGGGCTCCAAGCAGACGTCACTGTCTGGTCATTCCAGAGGCTGCCTGAAGCACTTAATTAGCATGACAAAGCAGCTTTCTGGATGCCAGCTAAAGCTGATACTCCCAGGGTAGGGATGTTACCATTGGCCTCCAAGTCAGGAGACCAGAGTTGTAATATTGGTCCTATTACTAACTACCTGGGGCAATTCACAACCTCTCTGAGCTGTTTCCTCAGCTGTAAAATGAGAGGGTTGGAATAGAAGACTGGGATGGCTCCTTCCTAGCTCCAGGGCAGCTAGGTGGCACAGTGGATAGAGCTGGGAATCAGGAAGACTCATCTTTTTGAGTTCAAATCCAGCCTCAGATACTTCATAGCTGTGTGACCCTGGGCAAGTCACTTGTTCCTGTTTGCCTCAGTTTCTTCATCTGAAAAATGAGCAGGAGAAAGAAATGGCAAAGCACTCCAGGGTCTTTGTCAAGAAAACCCCCAAAGGGGTCACAAAGTATTTGAAATAACTGAACAAGAACAACAGCATGGCTTCTTCCAACTCTAAATCTATGATGCTGTGATGTGAGTACATTGAGCAAGTCCCTTCCCACATCTGGGCCTTAGTTTTCTCATCTGTAAAATGGAAGTGTTACATTAACTAGACTTGGAAGGACCCCTCCAACTCCAAATATATAATCCTACTATCATATGATCTGTGTGACCTTGGGCATGTCCCTTCTCCTCTGGGAGCCTAGGTTTCCTCATCTGTAAAAGGAGTTGGATTTGATCATCTTCAAGATTCCTTCCCTGCTCTAACATTTTCCGATCTCCTAAGTAAAAGTTCTGTAATAATACGGCTGCACAACAGTTTATATAGAGGATATGCTCCAAAAAGGAATCCGTATAGATCAAGCATTTGGGAAATCAAATCATGTTTTAAATACTCTATGGGAAAGGAACTCTGATGTGAAAACTTTTATGAGACAAAAACACACTCCATGATTTATGAGCTTTATAAATTCCACCATGTACAAAGCAGGTTTTCTGAAAGCAGGGCATGATAGGAGACGCCATCTTAGAAAGTCACTAACCTGCACAATGTAAACTTCTTCACGCCCACTGTAGCAGATTTCAAATTTGCGGTTATCTCCTTTCACATTCTCGGTAATTCCAACAGCGCTCATCTGTAAAACAAGGACAGATTCTCATGAGCCTTTTATTTCGAATCTGAAATTTAACTAGGGCCACGCACAGTACCCTACTCTACATAAAAAATGTCATGCTCCCTACAAAATGAACATTTTGCACTCAGCAATTATGAATTACCAAGCCACAAATTCTATTGTAGTTAAGAACATATAAATGTTTTCAGTGAAACATCAGAGCTCAACTCTAAGTACTCATTGTAATTTGGAAAATGGACTATTAGTTCTAGAGGAGATAAAAAACAAACATTATAAATCCGAGCCAAGTGATTCATTTTAAATTGGTCCTGTGTAAATCTTTAAGTAGGTGCTGTTTTAAATGAACTACATGGTCTTTTTTTCATGTTTTTTTTTATCAGACACAGAAGTAAAAATGCCCTTTAAGTTCAATAAGAAAATGTACCCAAGAAATTGATTTAGGATAGCTATTTTCTGTTACTTGGTCACTTGACACATTTATTTAGTTTTATTTAACTTTGTTCCATACAATCAATTCCCAAGTAATGAGTAAGCAAACTGGAAAATGCATCCAAAAGGCCGAGTGTACACTGCCTCCCTCTACCCTCACCCACCAACACTCTAAAAAGTAACAACATTTTCTTGGGCCAATGGTATGTCTCTTCCCCACCACCTCCTTTCTTCTCCCCCGGTGGAAATGTGTACAGAGTATGCTATCCCACTTTCTTTTCTCTTTCATCACGAGTGGCCCAGGTGATGCCCTCTTAAGCACTCATCAGGCATACATGCACATTTTCTTTAACCCTTTACACCTTTCCTTTGCTCCTCTAACTTTATCCTAGTTAGCTCAGAAAAAAAAAAATCACATTTGTTATGTACTTCTTCGGGGGAAAAAAAATTAACAATGGCTGCTGAAGTACTGTGGTGAACACCTGTATCAAGGAAAAGTAAACCCATAAGTTTAGAAGTAAAGAGACATACTAAAGAACCAAAGCTTTTAACCTCTGGAAGTATCTGGAAATTTTCCTTCAAAAATTTATACAATCACAGAGTGCCAGGCCTGGAAGGAACTTTAGACCTCATTACTTTCAGCCTACTCATTTTGCAGAGGAAGAAACTGAGGCCAAAAAAGAGGCAAAGTAATATAGGCCTGGGGCTCAAACTCAGGCCTTCTAATTTCAACTCCAGAGTTCTTTCTATTACAGCATGTTGCCAATCTAATTCTAGGTCCTTCTCTAGTTTTCCTGAAACATCATTATTTTATAGAGTGATTCCTTACTCCGTTTTACTTCTCCCCATTTTGTTTAGTAAGACATATTATGACATTAGTCATTTCTGCGTTTTTGTGGGAGATGTATAATACTTCAGCCACATTATAACTAGATGTGTGACCCTGGGCAAGTCACTTAATATCTCAGAGCTCCAGCAAATGCTCTTTTATATAAGGCAGAGAAGGTGCTTATCTGCATTGGTAAAGCCAATTTTCTGACTTGGAACTCCCCACACCAGTGAAACCATGTGTCTAATGTAAAAACAAAAAATGGATTAGATAGGTTTGTATGGGCTAGCCTGGGAACTAATTAACCATTTATTCAGAAATAAATGCTAGGTGGTGCAGTGAATAGAGTGCTGGGCCTGAAGTCAGGAAGACCTAGTTCAAATACAGCCTCAGATACTTACTGTTCAACAAGTCACTGGGCAAGTCACTTAACTCTGCCTCAGTTTCCTCATCTGTTAAAATGTTCTAGGGAAGGAAATGGCAAACCAGTCCAGTATCTTTGCCAAGAAAACCCCAAATGGGATTACAAAGAATCAGATGTGACTGAAACAACTGAACAACAAATTGATAGGAAGAGCTCTGCCTATGGAATCTAGTGAGCCCAGCATCTGACTTCTATCTCAGACATCTGTGTGACTAGGAGAAAAGTCACCTCACCTGTAGGAGCCTCAGTTTCTTCATCTGTAAAGTGGGGATAGTGACAACTGTAGGACTTACATCACAGAGGGGGCAAAAGGATTAAATGAGATAATATGTATGTATAAAGCTCTGAGCAAAGCTTCAAGAACCGTGCACAGGTCTGTTAGTACAATGAGGGTGTGTTGTATTCACAAGAAAAGGCATTCTGAGCTGCAAACAACTAACTTGGAGTTTTGATGACTTACCTACCTAAGTAAGGCATGAGGAACAGGGGAGGAAGAGGTTACAAGCATCCCTCTCCTCCTCCTCCTCCCACACTAGTAAGGCAGATTCCATATTTCCTTCTCTATCTCTGGGGGTCATGAAAAAAATCATACCATATTATGCTATTTTTCCCCCAGGGCTAGCCAACTGCACTCAGAAGGTCAAGGAGTTCTAACTTTTAACCTAAGTTTGTAGCCACACTGAGGGTGGCCCAAGGATATCAGTTGACTTGTTCAAAGTCACCCAAGTGTGTCAAGAGAGCTGGAACTGGACCCAAAGATTCCTGGGGCTCCCAACTAGGCCTCTGCTTGAACCACCAAAGCAAAGAGTTTCCTTTATGTCTCTGGAGGAAGATTTAGTCAGCATTGTTAAGGCCTGAGTTATTAGGACACATGCTTTTGAAAATTGGCCTGAAATTCAATTTGGCCAGATGCAAATGAACTGCTCTTAGAAGGCCTTCTCTGTACCTGCAGGAGGGCAAATGTGACCATTCTGGCCAATTTGGAGGAAGAGGAATACAGAGCCGTGATTCCATTGGTTTATGGAACTTCTGGGGAGGAAACTCCCTCCAGCCATGCAAATTAGCAACTAGCCTGCAATTTGCAGGCTCAGAAAATTGCCAATAGATATTGGAAAATCTGTCTGCATGGCCTGGTATCTTAGATTACAATAATGTGTTTCAGCTAAGCATATTGGGCCCAGCACAAACACACATTTCAACTAAGAAATTTCTCTGCACAAAACACAGACTCATTGCCAAAGCTAAGCAGAACCTTAAGGACCACCTAGTCTGGGAGTTCTTAATCTAGGGTCCAAGTACCTCCAAGGGGTATGTGACGTAGGTGGCAAAACAAAATACATCTTTATATTCACTAACCTCTAACTGAAATTTAGCATTTTCTTAAATTGCTTACAAACGTTTTTCTGAGAAAGGGTCCAGTCTTTACCATATTGCCAGAGAAAAACTTAAGAAGCCCCCTGGTTTCATCCAAGCCCCTCAATTTTACAGATGGGAAAACTGAGGTCTAAAGAAGTAAGACGATTTGCCCAAGGCCACACAGCTGGTTCACAGCAAAGCCAGGACTAGAATCCAGAACTCCAAGGTCTTTCCAGTGAGTTTTGCTGCCATAACATTGGAATCATTTCTTTCTTTGGAAAGCTAAATCTATGAAGTCAGAAATCCTACATGCAAAGTAACCCTTTGGTGGTAGGGTGATTTTTTGTAGAACTCAAATCATATGCCATGGAAGGAAGAAATGGCCCAGGAAAACACCCATTCAGATGACTGTATTTTCTGAGCCAAAAATAAGGGCATATGGTCTGACAAAGGAGATTTCTTTTTGCAAAGTCTCATTCAAAGGACACATTTTTATCTTGAAACAGAGACAATCCTGGAGAATCTGGGATGTATGGTTACCTAGCCAAGAGTCTAATTTCTTCTCTGTTGGCAACAAAATCAGTTCTCTTCATAAAAAAACAAGGACTGCAGTATTTATGGACATCATTTTCTGCTCCCACACTCCTCACCAACCCTGTCTTCCTGATTATGGGGAGCAAACAGAAGGGGTTTTGGGAGGGGTATACACATAAATTCCCCCCCAGTGGTTGAAAGCAGCAGCCCTAAAACTCTGAAGGCTTGCTAAGAGCATCTGAAGAGGTTCAAACAGTGATTAAATCATTCTCCCACTTCCAGCAAACAGATTTTAATTACGCATAATTCCCACCTCTTCAACTGCTCTTACCACCAGGTTGGGGCTTGCTGGGTCCATCAGGAAGGAAATTAGACTGAGAATAAAAACTCTTGAATTTGCTCATCAAAAGCAATGGGAAGATTCTGGAAACAAAAATTAGCATTTCACAGTCAATAAATACTTAATACCCTTTGACCTCGAGATATCACTACTGGGCATATACTCCAAGCATGACAAAGGCAGAAGGCAAACAAGAACATTTATAGCAACATTTTTATAGCAGCAAAGGAGAGACAGAAGGTTGAGCAACCACTAACTCAGGGAAGAGATAAACAGACTGTGGCGTATGATTGTAATGGAATAATATTGCACCATAAGAAAGGGCAAATATGAAGAATTCAGAGAACAGCGAGCAGAACTAGAAGAATAATTTACATAGTATACAAAGAAAAACAACACTGGAAAACATAAGAACTCTGATCAAAGCAGTAACCAAATATGACTTCAGCTAACTGACAGTGAAACAGGCCTTTCACCTTCCGATAGAAAATTGCTGCATTTTAGGGGATGTAGAATGAGGTATACTAGTTTGGATATGGCCAATATGCTTATTTCTTTTGCCTAGATCGGGGTTCTTTACCTGTTTTGTGTTGTGGATCCCTCTGGTAGACTGATGAGGCCAATAGACCCTTCTCAGAGTAATGCTTTTAAATGAATAAAATAAAATGCATAAAATTACAAAGGAAGTAAAAAGTTAGTAAAAATTAAAGTGATTTTTTTTTTCTTCTTCTGAGTTCACAGACTCCCCTGAAACCTATTCATAGGTCCCTTTGGGGTTGTGGATCTCAGGTTAAGAACTCCTGTCAGAGATGCATTTCTTTATTATTAGGGTGAGTTCTACTGGGTCTGGGGAGAGTATCACTCAGAAGCGAAACTGATGGGGGGTTTTGTTTGTTTTTTGTTTGTTTGTTTGTTTTTAGGCAATTGGGGTTAAGTGACTTGCCCAGGGTCACACAGCTAGTAAGAGTCAAGTGTTTGGTCTGAGGCCAGATTTGAACTCAGGTCCTCCTGACTTTAGGGCCAGTCTTCTATTCACTGCGCCACCTAGCTGCCCCTCATAATTGATGGGTTTTTTTTTTTTAAGCATCCATAACTCTAGGGGGAAAGGAAGAGAGAAATATAAGAGAGAAAATGTGAATAAACACCAGAGACTCTAATCTCTTTGAGTCCACCACTGCTCACAGAACTCTTTGAAAAGTATACCAAGAGACAGAACAACATGTTACATGGCAACAATATGATATAGTTATACACAGGCCACGAAGCAGAGTTTCAGAAAGGAAAACAGTAGCAAGCATACAAGCACAAGCTGTCCTCACAAACCAAAGGAATGCCCCTGTTCAGGGTCACCTCCACACCACAATGAGTTTTCAGAGGAGGCCTGTAGGGAAAGATATAAACATGGAAGCATCTTTATGGCAAGAGATTAAATATGTCTTACTTTCAAATAGTGCTTAAAGCTATAGAAGGGTGTTCTCTCATGTCCCTCTCCATGTTCATCTCTCCTCTTACAGAACATGATAGCTTTCTCATACAAGAAAAGGTGGCGTTGCATGGGCTTGAATCGGGCAAAGTCCTTCATTTTGGTGCTACCTTTTCTATGACTAATCCAAACACTGAATGATCCTTGCATTAATATCCTGCCCAGGTCACTTAGGTCACCCTAAAAGTGAAATAAAAAAAACCATTAGTGCGCTAAGATGCCATGAATGAGAAACAGTCAATGTCATGTGTGTGGTTTATCCTTCATTCTCAAAGAGGACCATGACATCAGGAAGGTGACGCCATGACTTGCAAGTGAATTGGATTTAAATGAGGGAAGGCTGTGCAAAGTCACCAGCCTCACTTTCTCCTTCAGAGCCATCTGAATCCAGTGGAGAGATATAGATCAGGACAAGTGGACACGGCTCCCGATATCGGAAGTGTTATGGGAAGAAAGGCATATGAGTACCCTCAGGGCAAAACCGTGAATTAATTGAGCCATTCTGGAAAACAATTTGGAATTCTACAAGAAAGCTCTTTCTATCCATTCACCCAATGACACTACCAGATAAGTATGATGACTAAGGTAGAAAGGATCCATATACCAAAGTATTATGGTGGCACTTTTTGGGGCCAGCACAAAACTGGAAACAGAGCATTGGAAAATGCTGAATGAACTGTGGTATAAGAATGCAGAGGAATATGATTGTGCCATTAGAAATGAAAAATATGACAAATTTGGGAATACATGGGAAGACCCGTGTCAATTGATACAGAGCAAAGAGAGCAGAATCAAGAGAATAATTTAGGCAAAGGCCACTATAATATAAAGGGAAAGAATGCTAAAAGAGAACTCAAGTTTGAATGCAGTTACCCATATTGGTCCCAGAAAACTAATGATGGGACATATACTTCCCTCCTCTCTCTCAGTAAAGAGGTAGGGGACTGCTTTTGTTAAATGTCACATAACCTCAGGAGAGGTAGCTGTTTTCGATAGTTTCATTTAACCTTCTTTCCTTGTAAGCAGGGAGAGTTCAGCAGCAAGTGGAAGGGTGGGGGTATATCAAGGAATAGGTATGGTCTAAAGCCAAAAAGCATCAATAAAACACACACATCACATGTGAATCTGAGTATCGTAGCAGCACATAGGTCTATGACATCAGCTCTGAAGTACTCATTCAGCCTGAGACATCCAAATGAATGAAGCATACCCAATTCTTTTGGGGTAATCTCATCATCCCAAAGGTTCATACAGGTATACATAATTATTCACACACACACACACACACACACACACACACACACACACACACACACACACACACATACACACTCACTCTTACATCATAGCCAGTAATGGCAGTCTGGTACATGGAATCATTGACCGACTTCAGTAAGTCCAACATTGCAACGAGAGCTTCTTGGAGCTGTTGAACACCTTCAGAGTTAGCACTGTACTTGAGTAACTCCTAGAGAGAGAAGAACCAAAGTCAATATTACACTGATATTAACAATTCAAGAAAAGAAACAGATGGGGTTTGGGAGTTTTTTATTTTCCAGGATGACACAGTCTCTCCAAAGGAGTTCAGAGAATATGGCATTTACTTCACTTGACACCTTAGTGTCACAGTCACTAATTCTTTTTAAAAATGGGGGCTTATGGCTAGGAAGCAAAGGCTATGCAAAGCATTAGGCTTCTATGTCAAAGGGGCTTTCTCACGTGGGATGTGACTCAAAAAATAGGCATACCTTGGTAATGTCATTAAATGGTTCCATAAAAACTTAAGAGGCAAGAGCTGTGCATAAATGAGAGAGAAATGGACCAGCCTTGGTCCAGAACCTGGGTCTGAGTTCTAGCTCTGTCTTGTACCAGCTTTAGGGCACTCATTCTCTCCGAGCCTCAGCTTCCTCACCTCTAAAATCAGGGATGATAATGCTTGCACCACACCTGCTCTACAGGGTTGTTGGAAGCATAAAGAGTAAATAGAAATGTGAGGCATTGTTAGACCTTGGGGGGGGGGGCCTGCACACAAATGCCTACTTTATTCCTGTTGCACACAGTCCAAATGTATAAATTTGCACAAAATCTGGACTGCTCCGGGATAAAAGAAATAGAAGCTGCAACAATACCCTGGGAGAATGCTATCTTTATCTTTTCCTGAGGAAGCCAAGCAACCTCTTTCGCAGTACTCCCATTCCATTATGGGTTTGCATTTTTAATTTTTATTAATTCGTATTGAAGGCTATGCATGTAAATTCTTCATAAAAAACACCAGGAAAACAGCTCTTTGGATGGATAATTAAATGGCTAAGATAATTCCAGATGTTCTCAGTTGGATGATAGCTTGAGGTTTATGCCAAAGGGGCTTTCTCACATGGGATGTGACTCAAAAAATAGGCATACCTTGGTTAATGTCATTGAATGTTTCCATAAAATCTTAAAATTAGGAGAAACAATGTTGCAGGGGTCACTAAGTATCATCTATCAGTAGTAAGCTATGCGGCAACAAGCCAGCTCAGGGGAGTTAAAACTGCAAGGGCTGAAGCATGAGCTCAATGCCAAACATCTGATTAGCATTGCAGATACAATGAATGATACCAGGGAGAGGGGTTTCAAGATAATGTACCAATGATGCCGCTGTGAGCAGGGACTGGTTGGGAGCAATATTATTCAAGGTATTACTGAATAATGTTTTTTATTGGAAAATCCTTTGTCTTTCATTTAAAGCTCTCCACAATTTGACTCCCACTAACCTTTCCAGACTTATTTCATATTTCTCTTCTTCACATACTCTCCATTCAAAGCAGATTGACCTGCTAGCTATTGCCTATAGACAACATTTCTCTTCCTCACCTCCTCTCCATGCTTTGGCATGGACGGCCTTCCGTGTTTGTGCATTTCTTTCTAATCCCTCTCTCAGAATCCCTAGTTTCCTTCCAATCACAGCTTAGGGACCACTTCCTAGTTGAGGTCTTCCCCAATTGCCCACATTCATTAGCACTCTCACGGGCTTGAAGCTTCTCTGTAATTATTATCTGTAGAGATCATGTCTCCCTAGTAAAATATAAGCTCTTAGAGGGCAAGGATTTTTTTTTCTTTGCATCCCACAACCTAGCACAGTGCCTACCTAGCACATACTTAATACTCAATAAAATACTTAATACTTAGTATTTAATAAAAACGTGCCACAGTGAATTAAAATGAATAAAGTCAACCAACCCCCAGTGGTGACTCACAAGGGCACAACGAAGAATTGCCTGGGATGGGCAGGCATTGATGGGATGCATTGCTGGAGGAAAGACAGAAATCTTCTGAGTAGCTGGGGAATACAACATAATACAGTATGGTACTTGACTTGGCAAATCCTAGAGTCTACCTGTTCCAAATGCAGCTTAGTGATTTCCCCAGAAATTAATAAGCAACAAAAGGCATCATGCAAATACCTTCAAAAGCAAGTGATATTTTGTCAGGCGTTGTACTGGTTTGAGCAGATAGGAGTCCAGGCCAAGTTTATGTTCTAGTTTCGTTTGGCATTCCTGAATCACAAAAAAAAAAATAACAGAAAGATCAACGAATCTGAATTAGACCATGCACCCATAAAAGTGCCACTTATTAAATAACTGGTTCAAAAATGTGAATATCTGTTAAGCCTCAAATAGGAGAAAGAGGAAAAAAAAGAAACCAGAAGACATCCCAGATGGCCTGAGAGCTTGGTGTGTATAAGACAGTTTACAAAAGACTAGAAATTATCCCATTAATGTGGTAGAGGGAAGCCCCTAAATTCTACAGTCCTAAAAAGCAGTGGGTTTACTGAATAATTTACACTTTAAGAGGGTACATTAGCACTGAATTGGTATGTTAAAGAGATGTATAAAAGGGAAAAAAAACATTTAGGGAAAGAAGGATGGACTGGATTCTAATGTGAAAACATTTCCTAAGACATTGATACAAATGAGTATGGGTTCCACAGGCCACCAGCCTGGAAAAAAAAATCAGTCTGAGTTGAAAAGAAATTACGTGGGATGACTTTTTCATAAAACAGGAAAACACAACCCACATCACTATGCTATATTCCTTTAGGCCACTGGCATACTATCACTAGATATAGCACGGCCATGACCTTGAGTCCTAAGATTTGGGGACCTTTAATTAGGCAGACAGAGTCTGGGCTAGTTGGGGAGAGAGGTATACACCAGAAGGTCAGGGAGCAGCTTGTGAAATAAGGGTAGTTTATAGGGATGGAGGAGAAAATTAGTCAATCAAAAAAAAAGTGGAGCACTCTTAGATGTTTGGTATAATAGAGAGAGTGCTAGTCAGAGTCAGGAAGACCTAGGTTCAAATTGACCTCTAACATGTAACTAACTGTGTGATCTTGGGCAAGTCACTTAACCTCAGTTTCATCATTTGTAAAATGAAGGGGTTGGACTCAATGACCTATAAGGTCCCTTCTAGCATTCAATCTATGCTGTGCATTACATATGGGGTAAGCCTGATAGCAAAATTCCAGGAAGAATTAGCATAACTCATCACTTTGCCCTCCCTTCCCCAGTAAAATAACACTCACCAGGAAAAAGGCGCTTTCTGAGCATTGTCTCCAAAGTAGCTCAGATCTGGGTTTGTTCTGACAGTACTTCTCATAGATCTGAAAATCATTCCTCTGGAAGAAAAAGAAAATGCAATATTGTTGTCCTTTTCCAAATGTATGGATCACAAAGGCTAGATTAGAAGCATGCATGGAGAGACATTAATGCCCACAGAGAACAGGCACATCTCTGCTACATCATGATGAATTGACACCGATACTACCTGTATGACCCTCCGTGGGTCTCAGTTTTCTCCTCTGTAAAATGAGGGGGTCAGACTAGATAGCCTCTGAGGTCTTTTCCTCCTCTGGACCTAGGAGCCCATTGTGACCTTGGGCAAGTCCTTTCCCTTTCTTGGACCTCAGTTTCCTCCTCTATAAAATGAAGGGGTTGAATTAGATGGCCTCTGAGGTCCCTTCCAGCTCTGAATGTAAGATGCTACAATCTTCTGACCTCAGAAAACATTTAGTAAGTACCTACTATACACCACGTCCTCTGTTAGCCACAAGAAGTGAACAAATACTACAATTAATGAATTTCAGACCAACCATTTAACAGTCTTGAAAGTTAGAGTGAAAAATACAATCTTCTACACATGTTCAATGCATGGATCAGTCTTCCAGGCATATCTCTCTCAAACTACTTTGTGTTTAACTGTTTTCTGCATATTTCTATTTATCCTCTTTCTATTTATTCTTTATATACCCATACATGGTATCCCATATCAAGCTATTAAAAAGTCTAGCTATTAAAGCTTAAAACTGCACCAAGACTTTTGGGACACTCTAGATCTGCCCCTGCTATCTCCCCCATTAAAACTGAAACTCTTTGCAAGTAGCAAATGCTTTGTTTCTTGTATTCATCTCCCCAGTACCTAGCACAGTGCTTAACACATAGTTGGCATTTAATTAATGCTGGCTGATTGATTTATTGATTCTGAGAGCAGGAAGGGTGCCTGTCAAAGTTCCATCACATACTAGCTGTGTGTGACCCTGGCCATGTCACTTCATCTCTCTGAGTTTCAATTTCCTCACCTGTAAAAAGGGGAAGAAGCATATCATGGTGCAGAGAGGGATGATCTTGATGCCACAAACACCTGAGGTCGATTCCTGTCTATATGTAATGCACCACTAGGTAGCGGGCAGACAAAGAGGTAGAGGACATAGTCCCTACCCTCCAGGAGCCAATAGTAAAGTTAGAGGAATGGGAAATATGTATAAAATTATATACAAGAATAGAAGACAGAAAATCTATTGTTGTTTGCGGTCATGTCTGACTCTCTGTGACTCAATTTTGAGATCTTCTTGGCAAGAATACTGGAGTGGTTTACCATTTCCTTCCCCAGCTCATTTTACAAGTGAGGAAACTGAGGAAAACAGGGGTAAGTGACTTGCCCAGGGTCACATAGCAAGCAAGCATCTGAGGCTGCATTTGAACTCACGAAGAGGAGTCTTCCTGACTCAAAGGCTGGTGCTCTATCCACTGTACCACTGAGCTGCCCAGAGGATTTATGGGCCTGACCAAGTTACTGCCCTGATCAATAAACTTTAGTGGTTCTTTATTCCCACTAAGCTCAAATATAATCTCCTCTGGCATTGAAAGCACTTTACAACTTGACTCTTTCCTCTCTTTTGAGGATTCTTACACATTACTCCACTTCATAAACTCTATAGTCCAGCATGCTGGTCAACTCTCTGTTCCTCACACACAATGCTCCATCTCCGTCTCCATGCTTCTGCAGGGACTGCCCCCATGCCTGGAATGTCCTCCTCCCTCCCTTCTGCCTCCTTTAAGACTTGGTTTAACGCCTCAGAAACTTAACACTTACTAGCTGTGTGACCTTGGGCAAGTCATTTAACCCCATTGCCTAGCCAAAAAAGAGATAAGGCTCAGTTTAAGCTCCACTTTCTGTAGGTTCCCCCCAATAGCCTGCAGCTGCTATTTCTATCCCCCTCCAAAGTTTCCTTATCTCTCTCCATCACACATATCTTATACATGCCTATGTACAGATGCGTGATCTCCTTCATTAAAACATAAGGCCTTTGAGGGTAGAAGCTACTTTCCCTTTTTCCTTCATATCCCAAGTGGCTTAGCACTTAGCTGTCTGACACATAGTAAGCACTTAATAAATGCTTACTAATTGACTGGTTAATGAAAGATGTCAAGTCTCAGAGAATTACAAAAGGAATTAGGATGGAGAAGCCACTGAGGGCTAAGGGGCTCTGTGAGGACGCCGAAGAAGACAGGGGTCTTGTGCTCAGCTGTGAGGACAGGGCAGAATCTAGATATGTGATGGAAAAGTAGGGAGGAGGGGACAGCACTCCAGGCTGGATGGGGGTGGCCAAGAGGTTACAGGCATGAGAAAAGTACACCACACGCTTCGGGTACAGGGAGTCACTGATCTCCCCAGAGAGGTTTAGTGATTTAAAAAAAAAAACAAACCCATTTTCTATGGCTTTCAGTGGTAAATTACTGGTTTTTATGGCTTTCCATGGTAAATAGCCATGTTAGGTTAGGTTTCCAAGAATGCACATTTAAGGAGAAAGTGCCACCTGTGTTCATGGTCTCTGCTTTAATAGAGGCCCACAATGAGCCCACAATGGCTCATATCCAAATGGAGCTACAGATTGTCTGGGTCAACTAGGCTCCCCTCAGTACAGCAAAGCCTGGAAACCAGCTGGGCCTAAGAACTCCAGGTCAAGAACTCCCGTGCTAAGGGATGATTCTCTGAGAGAGTGGAAACTATGTTGGGAAATGAACAATGATTTAACAAACCCATTCCAGGAAACAAAGTCCCACACGTTCTGGTGCTCCAAAGCAGCTTTCCAGGCTGTGCAGAAAAATCCTGTGAAAAGTTAAGAGAGAAGATAAGACAACTCTTCCATTGGCTATATGAGGGAAAACAATCCTATGAAGTAACAACGTCTGATTCATCATTAACATACTTGTTATGGAATTCATAGATTTCAGGCATGTTCCCAAAGAGAACATCCTTCCTGTCTATCAGGGCAGGTGGGATAAGCGCCAGCATCCTGGGATTGTCCATCTCTGCTCGGTAGCCCTGGCCAAACCAAAAGTAGACGTCAGTTTATTAAGCCCAGATCTTATGCTGCCTAATAATTTTCTCACTCATTACTAATATTATTGGTATTATTATCCTTATTTTAACAGATGAAGAAGCTGAGATTCTGAGAAGCTGTGACTTTCTTAGGGTCATATAGTTGCTAAGCATCAGAGGCAGGATTTGAATCTTTCTTAACTTCAGTTCAGTGTTCTTTCCACCATACCATGCTCCCTGACGTGAGCCCATGATTTCCACTAAGTACCTTGAGCAACTTTTCACTAACATCCATGTCTTGGTCTATAATGTTGCCTTTTGCCATCATTATTGCAACATATGCTGGCTGAATGGGTAAAACCAGGCTCTTACTGTAGTCTGAGTTCATTATGTCAGAGAGAAGCTATTCTTTCAGACACAGAGTGGCTTCTTGCAGTTGGAGTGTTGCTTGGGGATTGTGATATATGATGGAAACAGCACTGGATTTGGGGGTCAGATGACTTGGGCTTGAGTCCTGTCCAGTTCAGCCATGACTTGGACAAATTCTTTCAACTCTGTGGGCTTTGAGTTTTCTCATCCATGAAAATGGGGGCAATGATATTTCTTCCCTACCTAATTCTCAGGGTTGTGGTTAGACCCAAATGGGCACATGTGATATGATTATAAACCTTAAAGCACTAAAAAAAAAAGAATGCTAATGTCATATAATTGTTAGCTTTTTCAGGCAAGAGCTCTTTTTCTTTTTGAAAAGTGTATTCTAGCATGTGGCATATAATATTAAATTCTTGTTGGATTGGATTGGATTAGAATTTAAAGTGAAAGAAACATCCTGTTGACACACACATCTTGACAACTTAGTCTAGCATGAATATGAAAATATGAAAATCAAGGCAGCCTTGCTAGAGTGCAGGGCTTGGAAATAGGAAGACCTGGATTCAAATCCTGCTCCAAGGACTTAGTAGCCATTTGACCCTGGGCAAGTCACTTAACTTTTCTGAGTATTAGGCACCTCCTTAGGATTTGTTTACAAAGTCAAAGATGAGGTAACAATATGAGGAATACTTGCCTTACTCAGCTGTTTTGAAGATTACATGAGACAATGTATATAAAAGCACTATGCAGGTTATTCGGACAGACTTGAGCAGTTTTAAGATTCAATAACTTAAAACTACAGTAAGACTTTTGAGACACTCTTTATAAATGCAAGCTATTATTTCAGACAAGGGGGAGGAGGGGGAGGGAAGTGACTGAAATACAATGGCACTCACCATCAAGACAGTGAACAGATCATTCACATATACCCTCTCGGTCTCAATTAGCTCATTTATCACATGGCTGGAAAAAAAAAAGAGAAAACCCCTTTAAGTTCTAGAATCTTTATTTCTTTGGTACCTTAAGGTTTATCAAAGCCTAAATAAACCCTGCGAGGTAGGTAAGTCCAAGACAGCACAGCTGCCCTTGTACATCAGTCAGGATTGTATTGTCAAAAGAGATTCAGACAAGCTAAGCCGCCTAAAGGAAAGAACCAGTTCAGACAAAACACCTGCTAGGGTCTATGGTCAAAGCTAGAAATTAAGTGCTTTTGAGTTGTAACATCAGTAACTTAAATGTTGCTACAAGATTTCTAAGGTAAGCATTATGTGCTCATTCTCCCAACTCTCTAACCAGGTCAGATGATTTTTCAACAAGTATTCTGGAGGTTCAAAAATGATAACCTACTTTTAAAAAATTATTGGCAAAGAGTGGATTTGAGGCACAAGAAACTGGATTTGAGCCCTTACTAACTGTGTGACCTTGGGCAAGTCACCTCTCCTCTCTGAGCCTGTTTCTTTGCAAAATGAAGAGGTTGGGTTAGATGCTCTTAAAGGCCCCTCCAAACTCTAGATCCCTCAACACTCAAATGGATTTACACATGTAATCACAAGATAGACATATATAGTCCCTCCAGTGATGCAAGTTGAAACCCATCCTTCATGCCCTCCCATAAGTTTACTATGGGTGAGGGCACTCTACCCAATGAGCTAGGAGTCTTCCTCCAGTTTTTCTGACATCTTGAAAATACCAATGGAGCATACGGAACACCTTATTCATTAAAATCAGTGGTCCTATCTTCTTTTTTGATCTATATAATAATGACTTACTAAAGTTTATGACTTATTAAATTTTATAACAAAATCTGATCCTTATTCTCTGAAGTAGAATCTTGGAAAAAATAACTGAGTATAATAATTTGGTAATTCTTTTCACATAATCCCAAATTGTTTTCCAGAATGGCTGGACCAATTAATTTACAGTGCCATCAATAGTGTCCATCCTCCTACAGTCATTCCAACAGTGACCGTCTTTTTGTCATCTTCACCAATTTGCTGGGTATGAGGTAAAATCATAAAATTATTTAAATGAACATTTCTTAAATTTTTAATAGCTTGGAGAAATCTTTCACATGGTTGTTAATGGCCTGCAATTCTATTCAGAACTGCTTATTCATATCCTTTGATCATCTATCTATGAAGGAATAGTTCTTAATGTATTTGTGTTAATTCCCTACATGTCTTGGATTCAAGACCATTGTCAGAGATAATTAATACAAAGTTCCCCCTCCTTATTATTCTGGTTGCACTGATATATTTTGCTTTTACATCACCTGCATTTCTCAATGCTTCCCTCCATACATACCCTCCTAAGTCAATCACTTATATTAAAGAATAAAAAATAAGAGCAAAAAAAGTCCAGCAAAACTAACCAACAAATTAAAAAGTATGATCTTATATGCAATGTGCCATATCCATGGTCCCTTACCTCTATAAACAAGCCAGAGGCGAAGGGGAAGATACCTTCTCCTATCTCTCCTTTGGGGACAAGCTCAGTCATCATAATTTCTGAACACTCGGCTTTGATTCTTTTGCTATCGTTATTCTTTCCATTTACACCATTGTAGTCATTGTGTACATTGTTTTCTTAGCTCTGCTAACTTTCCTCTGTATCAGTTCATACAAATCTTTCTATACTTTTCTGTATTCATCATTTCTTATAGCACAGTAATATTCCATTACATTCATGTACCAGTTGGTTTAAACACTCCCTACTCAATGGGCATCTACTTTGTTTCCAGTTCTTTGCTATTACAGTGTAAATAGAGCCTTTCTTTTTGTCATTGACATCTTTAGGGTATGTGATAGCCATGTGATCTTTAAGTCAAAGGATATGGATATTTTAGTCACTTTCTTTGCATAATTTCAAATTACTTTCCAGAATAGATAGACCAACTCACAGTTCCACCAACAGTGCATTAGTTTGCGCATTCTTTCTATAACTTATCAAATTCTTTTAGGCTTTGCCAATTTATGCAAAAACTTCTCAAAGAAGTCAAAGATAGAAATAAGAGTACTATATATACCAAAATATCCATAGTAACAGTCTTTGTAATACTGAACAACTAGAAACAACATGGGTTTCCATTGATGGGTTGGTAGCTAAACAAATTTCAGTAAATGAATGCGACAAAATAATTGTTGTTCAGTCATTTCAGTCACGTCTAACTCTCCATGACCCCATTGGTTTCCTTAGCGAAGATATTGGAGTGGTTTTCCATTTCCTTCTGTGGCTCATTTTACAGATGAGAAAAGCGAAACAAATAGGGTAAAGTGATGTGCCCAGGGTCACACACCTAGTTAAGTGGCTGAGGTCACATTTGAACTCAGGTCTTCCTTACTCCAGGCCCAGTGAACCACCTAGCTGCCCCTAATGAAATAATACCGTGCTACAAAAACACAATGAAAATGGGGAACTAAGGAAAACATGGGAAGACTTGTATTAACTGATGTAGAATGGAGTGTGCAGAGTCAGGAAAAAATATATACAATGACTATAACAACGGAAATGTATATCCCTCCTTCTGTTGAAGAGGGAGGGGGCTGAGAGTGTGGAATACTGCCTACATTGTCAGATGAGGATGATATGTTGGATAGTTGGTTTTGATTTTTTTTTTTTGTCACAAGGGAAACTGCCCTGGGAGGGGAAGAGGAAGGCATAAATGAGAAAATATCTGTAGGGTTTTTTTTAAAGCATCAATAAAACTTTTTAAAAATTTAAGTAGTTAAAAAATTCACTAGAAAAACATCACAGCAATACTGAGATTTTCTGGACAGCAGAATTGTTTTTCCTGTATTTATATCTCCCAGAGAGGCAACACAATGCAGTGGCTAAAGGGTTGGCCAGCTCTGTGATGATAAATGTTTAACAACTGTCTCTTTGAAGAAAAAAAATATGTGTACGTCACACTTTTAAGTTTAATCTAATTATTAATGCTTTCACCATCACTTTCTGAAGTCTAGATTAGTGGTATCAAACTCCAAGAGAAACAGGGGACACTAAACCATTCATAAATGTCCCTGCAGAACTCATATTGACTTAGTTTTAAAAGGTAATGTCATTTATGTTCTATTGTATTTTTATTTATTTTGTTAAATATTTCCCAATTACATTTCAATCTGGTTCAGGCTACACTCAGGAGCATTGCAGCTGTGAGCTGTAAGCTGTATGTTTGACGCCTCCGGTCTAAACAATCAACAGAATAATAAATCAGGCCCCGATTTGTAGTATTTGCCAATTTCTGAAGTGACAGTTTGAACAGGCAGCTCTCACAAGCCAGTATGAGCTGGCTCTAGAGCACAGTCTTGGAATCAGGAAGCTCTAAGTTCAAAACATATACTACCTGTGTGACTATGGGCAATTACCTAGCCTCTCTGTTTCCAAGGCAACCGTCTAAGAGTATGTGTTAGCCATGAGTAGCTAAGCTGTACTGGGGAGGGAATTTCCTCCAATGGTGACATCACTCCTCAGGACTACCAAAAACAAAATGTATTGCCCTTTACTCTCTCATTATTTCAATGAGGGCTTTTTAAACACAGTCCTCTCACTGCCCTCTGTGTCTCTGTCACTTGAAAATTTTCTGTGACATATAGTGGACAGATCCTCTGCCCACTTTTTAAAGTTCATTTTCAAGGTAATATGAAATGAAATTTTTCTTCTACCTAGCATGAATAACACTTTAATGGAACTTCTCACTTTGACCCATTGGGGACTTTCAAGTACCTCTGGGATAATACTCTCTTGAGTATTTTTAAGTCTTGCCTCAGAAACTTACTACCAGTGTGACCCTGGCCAAGTCACTTTACCTCTCTGAGGCTTCTTTTCTTATCTGTAGAATGGAGAGAGCAAAATCATTAAGCTGGCAGGGTTAGGAAGATCAAAGGAAACAGTGTTTGCAAAGTGTTCTTTAAACCTTAAAGCACCATAGATATAGGAGCTTTTATTATAATTAGCAAAATGTCTTTACATCCTTCTCCTAGGACACTGATATACCATTATCAAAACAACAATTATTGCAGGATGCACAAAGTATCACCTTCTATTTTTTGTGCACTTGATGGCTTCCAAAGTGCTTTCAAACACATGTGAGATAGTAGGGAATGTGTCATTTTCCCATTTTACAGAGGAAGAAAGAGGGGCTTAAGAGGGGCAAATGACTTGACCAAACTCATAGAATCCCACAAATGAGAATGTTGTAATGAAAACCCAGTTCTTCAGTGTTCTGGTTTACTATATGTGCTCTCTCTTTCTCTCTCTCCCCCTGGTTTAACAGAGAATTCCCCAAGGTCCTATGGGGAGCACATAGCCAAGCCAGAATTCGAACCCAAGTTGACTACCAATACAGTGATCTTTCCATTGCATCATATTGTCTCCCAACCTCCAAATCACTTCTATCCGTTAAAATGGGTATGAATAAAAAGGAAGGGTTGGGGGAGGGGGGCAGGGCAGAGGCAACAGTACCTTTTGAACACATTCAAGCTGTCTTCATTCTCCGAAATAATGTACTGTGAGGAATTTCTCTTCTCTTCATAATCATGCATAACTTCAATCTGGAAGACATTTGAAAGCAATACAAATCAGCTTTAAAGCAAAAGCAGCTTAGGAGCTGAAGAACCACAGTCACAGCACTCGTTTCATATTAAGTTTTAGCCTGAGACAGTAACATCCATTTTTAATGACCTTCCCGACTAAACACAAGTCATAAAATATCAACAGTCTGCAACTTCATGGAGCCATGTTCAAGAGTGGCAAACCAATAACCTGGGATTCCACAGTCAATTTCAGAATGTCCAGCACGTGACCTCCCTTCCCCCTTGATGCTGATCATGACCCTTCTATAACGAGAGAAAGTCACTTAAAGTTCAGAGATAGTTAAATGACTTGCCCATGGTCAATCAGCCAGTAAGTGTCAAAGATGAGATTCAAACTCTTGGCTATAAAATTTATTAGCAATGATTCTTACTTTTCGTGAGTTCTGATTTTTTCTTGACTTCTTCCCAGGAAGAGGGAGATCAAAGGAGAATTTCAAAGAAGAATTAAAGTCCATCCCTTCAATAAAAATAAAGAAAATGTGAGAATCATTCATTTGACTTCAATATGAATACTGAAATACGTGCATTCCATTAATCCTGCTGCAAAGATAGCACTCAGAACAGTGAGGTGAAGAGGAATTTTTAAGATTTGGATTTGATCCTGCAGGGAATCAGGAAATTGCAGGTTAAGTGAACCACGGGGTGAGCTATAGCAGGGTGTCAATTTCACATAATAATAGTACAATATCTTAGAGGCCTTTAAAAATGCTGAACAATCAGTAATCACTTTCACACAATCTCAATCTACATAAAAGCTTCCACAATTATTAGGACCATCTTAAAAATGATTTGGCAAAGGCAGGGAGCTTAAATAACCAGAGCAAATGCTCCCGAACAGCCAGCGACTGGGCCAGCCAAGCCTGGATTCTAGAAGTTTCCAATTCCCAGGTATAAGTGTTAAGAATAGTACTCAGGGAAGGAACACACTTGGGTCCTTAAAAAACAAATGGAAAACGCTGGGATGGTTGTGCTCTCTGTACACTGTAGCTCAGTATTCCTATTCACATGAAAAAGTGAAGTTTCTGGGGTTTCTTCCAAATCAGAAACTCTCCCATTTCAGATGATAACTCATTTATGATGTAGGAGATAAGTCCTAAGGAATTGTCTGAGGTCCACAGACATTAAGTGACGTCCCCAGGGGCCTAAGACTAAGAAGCATCTGAAATGGGATTTGAACCAAGGTCTCCTAATCCCAAGTAGAACATTCTTTCCATTTTGTCCCGTTAACTGCATGAATATGTAAAGGATCTGTGATTTCATCAGCATTTTAGATTCACAGTATGTGAGTTCCCTCCACAAGGCAGATCACAACCCATTCATAACCAAGTACATCCATTCTAGACAGTTGCATGACAGTTGTATTAACCCTCCATCTTATCCCATTTGGTGATCTCATCAGCTCCCATGGATTTGTCATCTCCATGAAGATGATTTTCAAAACTCTTCATGTACTCTCCCACTGCCTGCTGGACATCCCAAATAGAAGTCCCATGGACATTTTAAACTTGACATGTCCAAAACTGAACTCATTATCTTTCCCCAAAAAACTTTCCCAGCTTCTGAACTTCTCTGTTACTGTCTTAATCACCAACATTCTCCAAGGAACCCAAACTTACACTCTAGGGTGTTACCCTTGACTCCTCACACCCAAACTTCCAATAGGTGGCCATGTCCTGTTGTTTCTACCTTTACAACAGTTTTCAGGAGCAGTGGATAGAGCACCAGCTCTGAAGTCAGAAGGACCTGAGTTCAAATCTGGCCTCAGACCAAACATTTGACACTTACTAGCTGTGTGACCCTGGGCAAGTCACTTAACCCCAATTGCCTAAAAAAAAATCCCAGCTTTCATATATGTCCCCTTTCCTCCTCTGACAGAGCTGCCACCCAGGTATAGGCCCTCATCCTTTTGTGTCTCAACCATTGCAATAGCAATTGGTCTCCCAGCCAGTCTCTCCCCACTCCAGTTCATCTTCTACTTACCTGCCAAAAAAATCTTCCTGAAGGGCTGGTCTGATCATGTCACTCGCTTAGTCAATAAACTCCAGTCGCTCCCTATTATGTCCAGGATCAAATAGAAAATCCTCTTTTGGTTTCTAACACCCTTCCCAATCCAGTCAGTGCCTTCCTACCTCTCCAGTCTTCTTATACTTCCCTCCCGTCCATGTACTCTATGATCCATAATCACTGGCTTTCTTGCTGTTTTTTGCATAAATCACTCCATCTCCCAACTCCACACCTTTTCGCTGGCTATCCTTCCATGCCTGGAATGTTCTCTTTCCTCCAACTTCTCACTTCCCTGGCTTCCTCCAAGACTCAGCTAAAATCCCATCACTTCTTCAAGAAGCCTTTCTAGGCCCTCCTTAATGTTAGTGCCTTCCCTCTGAAAAGATCTCCAATTTAGCCTAGATAGTTCTTGTTTGTAAATAGTTGTTTGCATATATATATAGCTTAGATTTCTGTCACTGGAACTATTTGGAGTACATTGGTAAAGAATCATATTTAAAGTTAATAATTATTCTCTAATTTGTCTTTTCTGCTTTTGAATCTGTCTGTTGGGCTTTCATAGAGCAAGGCCCATTTATACTCTCTGAGAAAATTAGTTTTTATTACAAGTATGTATAATCTCCTCCCTTAGAAAGTGAACTCCTTGAGAGACAGGATTGTTTTTTGTCACTTAATAAACACTTATTAACAGACTGATTATCTTGCCCAGGACTACCCAAGCTGATAAGTTTCAAAGGTAGAATTTGAACCCAGGATTTCCTAACTCTAAGCCAAGTACTCTACTACACCAAATCACCTTTATTCTCTTTATTTAACTATTTATTTATTTATTTATTTTTTATTTTTTTATCTATTTTTGGCTAGGCAATGGGTTAAGTGACTTGCCCAGGGTCACATAGCTAGTGAGTGTTATGTGTCTGAGGCCAGATTTCAACTCAGGTCCTCCTGAATCCAGGACCAGTGCTCTAGCCACTGAGCTACCTAGCTGCCCCTATTCTCTTTATTTAAAGAAGAATTCTACATACTTGTAATAAAAAGTAATTTTCTCAGAGAGTATAAATGGGCCTTGCTCTATGAAAGCCCAACAGACAGATTCAAAATCACATAAGACAAATCAGAGAATAATTATTAGCTTTAAATGTGATTCTTTACCAATATACTCCAAATAGTTTCTGTGACAGAAATCTAAGGTATACACAATCTTTTAGGAGCACTTCTACTGTGTAAAGCAAGGTGGACTCAAACCATACTTAACTCTATTCATGCCCACCCCCACTGGTAAGATGCTTCCAAAATTCAGGGTAAATATATTCTACCTGATGTCAAACAGCCCCAAATCAACTGGTTTATTGGGTTTGGGATTTGGGGTTGTTTGCTTGTTTATATTGAAATGGCTGAATCAATTGACTCTCTGTGGTTTTCTGCAGACACTGCTTAACCTTGCCCAGAATTCTTTAAATAGTCCTCATTTATTATGGTGTCAGGGAAGATCAAGACATGAACTCAGAAGAGGACAACAATGTCAAAACACCTATGGGCAAAACCCCAAAGAAAAATGTGAAATGGTCTCAAGTCCAGAAAGAACTCAAGAAAGAGCTCAAAAAGGAGCTTAAAAGTCATATAAGAGGGGGCAACTAGGTGGCACAATGGATAGAGCACCAGCCCTGGAGTCAGGAGGACCTGAGTTCAAATCTGGTCTCAGACACATGATACTCACTAGCTGCGTGACCCTGAGCAAGTCACTTAACCCTGATTGCCTCACCAAAAAAATATATATATATATATATATATATATATATATATAAAGAGAGGTACAAGAAAAATTGGGAAAAGAAATGAGAGTGATGCAAGAGAATTATGAAAAAAAGAGTCAACCATTTGGAAAAAAAACTGCTTAAAAAGTAGAATTGGCCAAATGGTAAAGGAGATATAAAATAACACTTTGTACCCACTAGAAGAACTCTTGTGGTTAAGTATATTAAGCACAAGAATATTTTATTATTAGAATGGCCTAACAGACCATGGAGAATCATACAGTGTGTGTAAACAGGCAGAGGCTAAAAATGGCTCGTGCACAAATAGTGGGCCAAAAAAAGACCCATTTGAGGACATGTATGAGTAGAAATGGAGGGGGGCCAATTATGACAAGGGTAACAAGTGGACAGTCCAAATATGACACTAGTATCTACAAAATCTTAAAAGATGTAAAGGAAAGCCTCTAGCATGATGGGAAGAACCTTGAGGGAGGAGGGGTTTAGGATGTCATGGAAAGGAATTACACAGGATGAAAAGGTGTGAATATGCTACAGTCTATACCAGTGGGGTAGCCACATGGACAGCATTCCAGCTCCATCAAAATGTTAAAGTACTGTCCTATTTCAAGCCTGAGACAGTTTTTTGCTAACATTCTTCCCTGCCACACTAACCTTTCTGTCATGTAGTTGCCAACAACATAGTTCTTTCCTGAAGCAATGTGAGTCACAAATGGCCAATATATCATTGAAGGGGAGAAGATAGTCAAACAAACTGCCAACATCCCCTTTGGAGCCATGCAAACTGTCCTAAGCTTTAAACTTAATTCATCTGTCTTAGCCACATGACTTCCAGAAGATTACATGGCATATTGAAAGTGGTATTCACCCTCTTTCCAGAATCAAGAGTGGTATTTGGGAGAGAATTTTTTTTTAATCTCAATGCCCTTAAAAATCCTACTTATTTGCCATGGTGCTGCTTACTGACAGTGGTTTGTTTTTTTTTTTTAATCTCACTAGTTTAGCATAAACAAACAATTGTACCATTTTTTGACTCTAGAGAGAAAAAGTACCAGAATACTTTTGTTAAGTTTCCAAATGTTAACTACTAAGGGAATAAGCAACATATAACATAATCATGTAGTTAACTTATGAAATAAATAGCTCTTTAACATCCAAAATGAGATTTCATCTGGCATAGTGTATAGAGAGTTGTTGGCCTTAGAATCAAGAAGAAATGAGTTCAAGTCCCACTCTGACACACACTGGCTGTATGGCCCTGGACAAGTCACTTGAACTCTTGGTGGCCCCAGGTGAGTCTCTAAAACTTCTGAAACAGGGACCGATCTGCACTGCTAAATGGGGCTTCTTCACTGAAAGTTTCCTACACTAATAAAGCCACACTAAGACAGAGTCCTTACTCTCAAGGAAATTATAGTTAAATGGGAAAGGTAAGATGTTGAGGCAAATAACCATAATACAAATTAGTCTATATGAATTGGGACCATGAAAATCAAGTATGGTAAAAGACAGAATCAGGGATGGCTTGGGAAGGTGGCCTTTGAGCTGGGATATGGAAGGATAAGGGCAGTTCCAAAAGGGAGTCATGACTCCCATGTCATATCACCATTATCTCTAGGGTTTTACCCAGTTCCTTTACCCATCAATGATTTCTGCACAAAGCCTACAGTTAGCTGAGGTCCTCCTTGGCCAAAAAGGCAGAACCTGAGGGGTTTTTTCCCCTACTGTTATAATATGGGCTATTCTTGTCCATTGTTTAATTAGAAAGAAACATCATGTTGTATGTTGCTATATTGCCTGCCCGAACTTGATTTAAAAAACAGAAAGTCAGTATGGCTGGTGTGTGGAACATGGGAATGCTTTGATTAAAAACATCAATAATAATGGGGGAAATCATTTAGAAAAGAGCAGTATGTATTCAATCAATAGCCTCCTTTGTGGTAGACACTGGAGGTTACCTTTAATGAAAGCAAATACATATACTGCTTCTTCCATTCCACCCCAGCCAAGGCTGAGCTCTAGATTTCTGGCTCTGTCTTAACACTTATGATATATTCTCTTGTTTAATTCTTAAGAGAAAGCCTATTTGGGTAGCATTCTGAACTTAGAAGCAAAAGGATATGGATTCAAATTCTGCCTCTGACAAATGCTAGCCAAGTGTTAACTTACAGCCTCTCTGAGCCTGAGGTAACTCTCAAAGACTTATCTGCCAAGCTACAGATGGGTGGCACTCTGCACAAAATCACAAATCACTCACATATGTGTTTTCTGTATTCAAATCTGTATCACAGTTAATTGTGTCTCATCTTATCCCCTTGGATTCGTTCTGCTTAGCCCCAAAGGGCAGAACCAGCAGCAATGGGTAGAAGTTATAATGAGGCAAATCAAAGTTTGATGTCAGAAAAGTAATATCCTGACAATTAGAGCTGTCCAAAAGCAGACTGTGCTGTCTGGAGAAATGGTGGACGTCTCCTTATTAAAAGTCCTCAGGCGAACGCACAATGGTCTATCATTGGGAACATTCTTGTCCGTTCCAGCCAACTTGGCTTGCTTGTTATGACTTATCACTATATCACATGGTCAACCTCCCTGTCTCTGCACAGGCTGCTTCCCCGCCCTCTCCCTCCTCACGGGCACCTCTTAGAATACCTGCCTCCCTTCAAGGGTCAACTCAAGTGCTGCCTCAGTTGTTAGAGTCACAGTCCCTCCAAAAATTACTCTTTATTGTGTATGCATTTTATATTTCTTAATTGGTATACATGTTGTTTCTTTTTTAAACTTATTTTTATTCTGAACTTAACAAACACTTGAATAATGGATATTTCTGTAAACACAGAACAAAAAAGAAGATTGTACATGAAACTGCATATTTCTATTATGTATAGTTTACTTCTTAAAAATATATATATAATAATTTCAACTTATAGCTTTCAGAGGTGTCCTGCTTTTCTGGGCTTACTTCTCTTCAGTTTTTAAAAACGATACCTCATTGGCCTTCTTTTAATTTTTGTTAACCTTACCTCTATGACCAGTCATTCTCCCACCTACCCCTCCATTAGAAAAAAGAAAAATAACTCTTGTAAGATGTAGTAAAAGTTGTCCTCCTCTCCACCCCTAGTTCCTCCCAGGAAAATAGAAGCTCCTTGAGGAAAATATGTTATCATCTCTGTCTCTGTATCCCAAGTGGCTGTCATGGTGCCTTATACCCAGTAAGCATTTTACCAGAGCTTCCTAAATTGAAAGAAATAGTGGGCATTCTTTTGGGGGCACAGGTTATACTCAATGGCTGCTAAAGCCATCTGATGGAACAGAAATTCTGTGACTTGAGACTCCCTCCCTAGACTGTCACCTCCATGAGAACAGAGACCCTTGTCACATTCCACTTTGTAAGTGATGAATGACACAAAAGAGTATATAAATGATTTCCTTTAACTCTTGCCTCCTATTCCACCAGGTACACGCTTCTGTGTATAAATCAGATCGCCATTGCTAGACAGTGCAAGAGCTTCACGTTAGGGGCCTGAGCTACTTTCTACGGAAATTTTTCCTAAGTTAACAAATGGCTAACAAAGAAAGGCTACAGAGGAGGGGGGCAGGGGAGGGCAGCACCATTGCCAACAGGATTCAGGAAAGCTTTGTTCACTTATGGAAAAAAAAATACTCTGAGATCTTAGGTAGGGATTAAAAAATTCTAATTAAGTCAAGCACACTATTATAAAAATAAGATCAACAAAGGTTGAGAGCAAGAAAAAAGAAGGCCAAATGACCAAGGGCTATTTCCCAAAGCTGATGGAGGAACTTCAGGAGGCTAAATTTGAGAGAGACAGAGACAGAGAGAGATAGAGAAAGTGAGACAGAGACAGATACAGAGATAGAGTGAGACAGAGAGACAAAGAGACAGAGAAAGACAGAGGCAGAGACAGAGACACAGAGACAGAGAAAGACAGAGAGACAGGGAGAAAGACAGAGAGCCCAAGGCTGTCTCCATCAGCTGTATAAGGGCCTCAGAACTGAAATGGTTACATCTCAGCTGCAAAAGCAAAGGACAGAAAATGGGGGTTCAAAGGCTCAGTCACTTAAGCCCAACTGAATCCTTTCCAGGGTATGGAGCTGCTGAGACAATTCAATTACCAGCAGTATTTATCAGACATCTCTTGTGCTGGCGTCAGTGACGCCAATGGCTTCCCAGCAGCCTGTGCAAACCACAGAACAGGGTTTTTTGGTGTTTTTTTTTTTTCACCAGACAAGAAGTAAAGAATCCTAGTTTAGTTTACTCCCTGGGAGCTTTCTGGCAGGTGGAGGGATGGAGAAAGGGTACAGAAGGGGTAGAGAGGACTAGGGGAGCTAAAAGATCCCTGGCTAACACAGCCATAGGCTAATGAACTTATTTATAGGCTAATCTGCCAAGTCCAGGACTTGAGATGTGGTAGCGGGAAGTCTTTGTAGTGAATAGACCCCTGAACTAGGAGTCAGAAGACCTGAGTTGCTGGTCAGGGCTCCAGGTGACCTTAGTCCAATCATTTTCCTTGGACCTCAGTTTCAGCTGGAAAACATACAAAAGAAAGTCTGCCCAATTCACTAGGCTCTGCTGGAAAGAGCAAATGAGACTGGATGTGACAGTACTTTGTAAACTCTAAGGCACTAGATACCCATTAGGGATATCCCAATTATTGATCTGCCTCTGGCTGATGACAGCCTTGCAATCTCTGTGGTGTGATTGCATATTGCTCACTTTCAAACACTCTCCATTCCAGTAAACTGTCTGGATTCTCCATCTATATATGTCTATGCAAAGGGGCATATTGTACAAAAGCTATCACCTCCTTATTCCTGGAAGCTAGGTCTCTCATAATACATCCCCAAAAAGCATCTCCTTCTTTTTGGTAGTTTGAAGTCCACTATAGCCCCCAGATCTTTTTCTGGCAAACTACTGTCTAACTGTACCTCCTCCATCCTGTACTTATAAACTTGATTTTTGGGACTGATGTTTAAGATCACATTTATTCATATTGAATGTCTTCTTATCAGAGTCACCCTAACATTCTAGCTTATCAAGCTATTTTTGCTCTGAACTAAATCATCCAGTGTGTTAGCTATGCCTTCCCACTTTGTGGCATCTGCAAATTTGATATTCCAATTATCTTATATACACTTGCTATTCACTTACTTGTTTACATGTCATGATCCTCTAGCAGAAGGCCAGATCATTGTTGGCAGGGACTGTCTTTGTAAACCCAATGCCCAGCAGAGGACCCAGCTCAGAGCAGGTACTTAATAAATGTTTGAGATGGACTGAATGGAATCGAATATTTAAACAAACCTGAGGAGTTGCATGTTTCAGGATTAGAGAATGAATGAATGAATTACACAAACATTTTTTTAAGGGGGAAAAAGGTATCTGTGCTAAGAAGATAGCAAGAGATAGTGATAAGTAAAGGCCAGGCCATTTTACCGTGTTTAGGTGAGAACAGCGGCGATTTGGATCTGCCTGCGTGTTCAGGCTGGGGTGCCACAAGTTGGGTGGGCCGGGAATGCTTATCTGTCAGCTTCCGGAAACAACTCCGCCGGTTCTGGAACATGCTGCGAATGCTTTCCAGCTTGACTTGGACACCCTGGATCTGAGCCTGCGGAGCGCAAAATGAGATGCCGGATCAAGGAATGGATGGAAATCATCAGCGAAACGAAGGCCTCCAAAACCCCATCACCTCCCCAGAGAACAGAACAGCACGCACCAAAAGGAGAAATTTCAATTCAGGGCTTAAGATATGTCAAGTCGAAAACCTTGAGGAAAGTAATGTAAAGCAGATTAATGCAGTAAAGCCTTGTCATGGCTACAAAGCCACAAGTCTAACGCCTCCACGAGGAAGCCAGTGACCCTGAGAAGGCTGCTGCAGACTCAGCGAGCAGGGAGAAGTCTTAGCCCTTAATTTCAGAGAAAACACAAAAGTCTTCCCTTCCCAGGCTGGAAGAGTCAATGCACCTCCCAAATGTGGGCAGTTGACTCCTTTCCAAGTAGGATCAAGGCATCAATTATACAAACTACTTGGACCTCAGTTTCCTAATCCATCAAATGGGAGGGAGAAGTAGACTAGATGGTCTCCGACAACCCTTCTAATTCTAGGTCAGTTTTAGAAATGTGAAAGGCAAGCTATCCGCAGCAATACGAGCTCTGAAGTGTACATACAAGAGCCCTGGCCAATCTCAATCCTCAGACACCAAAGGGAGAAAAGCTTTCTTTTTGCCCTGGCCTGACTCCTCTCCTCAAATTAGACAGCTTCGGTCCCTACTAGGAAAGGAGTCAGCTGCCCACATTCGGGCCTCAGTGGCAGCTGAGTCACAGATACTTTTGCCTCTAATTTGGAGTATACCCTGCCTGTCCCTGGCACGCCTCTCAGAACCGAGGGGCCAAATTGCCCTCTCTCCTGTTAAGACCACTTTCCCTAACTAAGTTTATAAGTCTATATGCAGCCTTGGGCAAGTCACTTCAATCTCCCTGGGCCTCAGTTTCCTCATCTGTAAAATGAAGGGAACAGGTTTAATGACCTCCAGGTCCCTTCCAGCTCCACAGTGATGATCTTATTGAAGAAGGCAGCCTTGGAGTAGCCTGGCCAGTGCCTGCTCTGCCAGAGTTATGCTCTGACTGCACATACCATACCTTGAGTTCGGGAGTCAAAATGACCTCAAATTCCCGCTGTAGGACACGAGGATCATACTTTAAATTGGGGAGAGTCACATCAAGGAACTTCTCGATGTCATAAAGAGCTCTCTGAGCACCTTCTTTTGCCTGGCATTTATCCATCGGCTGATTAGCAAGGAGATAGGCCCCCCTCATCACAGCACAGGAGAGCCTGGCAGGGAGAAGCGAAGCAAGATTGAATATATCCATCGATTAAGGCAATAAGGAAAATGAACACGGCAATGGCATCTGTTCTACATTTCTGCTCCGTGTTGCATATTTTACTTAAATCAATAATGGAAATAAAAGACACCTGGCCAAAAAAAAAAAATCCAAGTCTTTATGTAAATGATGCATAGTGAGAGAAGACAGAAATGAAGGCTTCCAAGAACTAGACAAAGCTGTTTGGTAAGCCAACTCATAGATAATGGATAGCACTGCAGTAGCGCCCTCTGGAGGGACTATGCCGATTGATCATTGGGAAAATGGGGACCAAACCCACAAGGCAGTGCAAGGATTCTAAATGCCTTTGTTTTCAATAACAAAACCTATTGGTCAAGTGTCTCTTGTGTACAAGGTGCTGCACGAGGTGTGAAGGGAGACACAAAGTTTAGATAAGGCATGGTCCCTACCTTCACGTAGCTTACAGTCTAGTGCGGGGAGGGGGGGCAGCACAACATAAATAGCTATAATATATAATATTCGATGCCAATCAAGGAGAACTAATGGAAAACATTTCTCAAACCTTCAGGTACTATATTAATGCTGCTTATTATTACTGTTAGGGACTCTACCTGTGATCTCACTGGTACGGGAGACTACCTCTACCAATGCAGGCTGGCCCCTTCTCTGGCACTTAAGAGTCCTATATACTGGCCTAGAAGTTGAGTGACTTGCCCAGGGTTACATAGCCAGTACACATCAGAGGCAGCACTTGAACCCAGATCATCCTGACTCCCAGGCTGGTTATACCAAGGGTCAACAAACTAGGGCCCACTTCCTGTCTTTTGTACAGCCCAAGAGCAAAGAAAGGTTGCTGGGCTTTTACACTGTTATACCATGTTGCCTCTCATTATTATTAGAGAGTATGAAATGGAATGATACATAGGGTATTGGGGGTATGGTCTTTATCGTGAGGGGGATTGGGGAAGATGCAATGTTGGGTGTTGTATTTCACTTGGGCTTTAAAGAGGGCTGTGAAGTCAACAATCCAAGAGCAGAGGGAGGACATTCCAGGTACAGCAACCAGTATGAGCAAAGATCAGATTAGGAGAGTCCAAGACCTGTCCAGGAAGCAAAGCACTGTCCATTTTAGCTGGAGAGAGGCATTAAGAAGGGGAAAAACAGGAGGAAAGGCTAGCAAAGTTGGGTGAGGTAAGAGTGAGGAGAGTTTTGAAAGGCCTGGGGATCAACCTGAACTCAACTCAGTGGATAGTAGGAATGATTTCTGAGTCGAGATCTAGCATGACAGGATCTATGTGGTAGCAGTCTGCAGGATGCTTTGGTGAGAAGGAGAGAACAGAGACAAGAAGAATGACAGTATAATCAATACAATACCAATAACAAAAATGGATAGCAGGGTCAATGGCAGGGCTGCAGGTAGACATAGTAAAGTCAGAAGGAGGGATGCTCTCAGGGAGAAAGAGACTTGAGATGCACAAAAGTATAGAGAAGCAGAATTGGAGTTTGAGGAAGGGGTGGACATTGCATATTAAGAAAGTAGACTTATATGAGGACATCCAGGCCCTGGGGTGGGGAAGCCTGATGGTGGGGGAGCATTTGGGTGAAGAATGAAGAAGGAAGAAATAAAAGTGACATTGTCCTAAGTACTATAGACCACATGGACAGAAAGCAGCAACAGATCACAAGCCTGGCAAAGAGGCATGATATAGTGGTGATGGGGGCCTTCAATTATCTGAACATCTGCTGGAGTCCTCCCTCTGCCAGAAAGAGTTAGCAAATCATTTCTTAGCTTGCCTTAATAATCATTTCATCCTTCAAAAGGTGAAGGAAGCAATAAGGGGAATTGCTGTTCTGGACTGGATTCCCACAAAGAGAAACTGACTGCTGAAGGACAGATGATGGAAAACTGGGGGGAGGGAGTAGAAGGGGCTGGGGAGGAGATGACCATTCTATTTTAGGATTTGTGATCAATTGAGAAAGATCGGGAAAGGTGGTCCCAGACTCAGAAGCAATCTCGATTTGGGGGAGGCAGATTTCAAAGGGGTTGGAGAAACGTCACAGGGTCAATTGTATGGAGAGCAGTTGGAAAACCTTAAGGCCCCATACAAATGTAAATTATTTTTATTATTGTTATCATTAGGATCCCAGGGAGGATTGAAAGCCCTCAACCACATTCTGGGGCATTGAAAAAGACAACAGATAGGCTGCAGAGGCACTCCAGGACTAAAGAAGGACATTCTCAAAAATGCAAGCATTAATTCTGTAAACTACAAGCTAGTGAGATTGACTTCAACTTATAGCATCTTATTAGAGATGGTCAACAAACATGTGGAAAAGGAAGCAGTGAACACCATGAGTTGTCATGGCTTCATGAACAGGTCATGCCAGACTAACCACATTTCCTCTGGTACCCAGGCTGCCACACTAGTAGATCTGGAGAAGGCTGTAGATACAGTCGGTCTATATTTCATCAAAGCATCGGATAAAGTCTCTCCTGCTATTTTTGTGGGCAAAACGGAGCAACGTTAGCTAGAAAAGAGTGTAGTTGAGTGGTTTCAGAACTAACTGAATGGGCAGATGCAAAAAGGACCCATTCATCAGACATCGGCTTGGAAAGAGGTCTCCAGCAGAATGGAGTGTCCCCAGCTGTCTGGGCATGGTCCTGTGTGGATTAATATTTTTTAATCAATCAATTAGAAGGAGGCATTCATGGCGAGCTCATCAAATTTTCAGTCAAGACAAAGCTGGGTAGGATAGCTCCCACAATGAATGATAAGAGAATAGGTACAAAGCAATCTCAACAGGCTAGAACGATGAATTGAATCTAATAATCAGTCAATGTATATTGATTATTAATTGAGTGATCTAATAAGGTGGAACAACAGGAATCAATGCAAAGTTATATACCTCGGGTCAAAAAAGCAATTTCATAGGAGAAGATGGGAGAGTCGTGGATAAATTGCAGTCCTGAAAAAGATCTTTTTCAAGGTTTTGGTGGACTGATAGTTCAATGTGAGATTGCATTCAGAGACAGAACATCCAGCAGTAAGGAGTGAAGGTCCTACTGCATTTTGCCCTGATACAACCACATCTGAGGTACTACATTGGGTTCTGGATGTCACACATTAGTAAAGATGTTGCTAAGCAGCAGAGCATCCAAAGAAGGGCAACTAGGCTAGTGAAAGGACTTGAGATCATGATACATGAGGATCCATTTAACTGGGAAATTTTGTCTAGAAAAGGGATCATTCCACTTGGCCCCAGAGTAACTTGCAATGAGTTCAGTTATAGAGGGATAGGCTTGGTTGTCAGGGAAAACGCCCTAATACATGGAGTTATCCCAAAGTGAAATAGGCTACCCTGGAAAGTAGAGAGTCCCCCTTACCTAGACATCTTCAAGTAGAGGAGCCTGAATGACCACTTGTGAGGTACACAGTAGAGAGGATTCTTGGCCACCTATGGAGGGGGCCACAGTCTCTGCATCTATAAAATGAGGGGATTGGAGTGGATGGCTCCATCCAGGGTATCTCTTCTCTAAAGCTATGTTTCTACCACCCTTTGAAACCTTGAAGACAGCTATCATCTGCCTTCCCTATGTCTTTCTTCTTCAGGCTAATCATTCCCAATTCCCACAATGCATCCTCGCATGGCATGAACTCAAGGCCCTTTGCCATCTGAGTTGGAGTTGGACTAGATGGTCTCTGACATCTCTTTTAATTCTAAGGTTCTAAAATTCTATGATAATGAACTTGGTTTTAGATACATTCAGTCTGAGCTACCTATGAGACAACAAGGTAGACATGTCACATAAGGAGTCTAGAACGTGATGTGTTATCTCCCTCCAATTAGGAAGGAAATGCCTTGAGGAAAGAAACTATCTTGGCTTTTGTATTTCTAGCTCTACTATTTGGCATATAACAATCACTCAGTAAATAATTTTTCATTCATGCATTCACTCTGCAGATTTGAGAGTCACTGGCACATAGGAGGGAGCTGAGCTCACAAGGGTGAATGAGCTTGCTCTCAGGGATGACCCCACTTTTCAGAATGCTCACTACCTGGTGCAGCTGATTCTGGAGTTCCAAGGTCTTGGTAAGCTTCTCCTCTTTGGCTTTCAGTTCTTCGGACAGTACATCTGTCTGATGTCTCAATTCATTGCACCTCTGGCAGATTAAGTCAACGGCATAATGCTGATTGGCTGCAAGCTGGTGCCCATGCAGTATCAGGAGCTGGGCCTTCCCAATCAGCTCCTGGGGTAGAGTAAGAAGTGGTAACTCTCAACTGTGGTCTGTATCTTTTCCCCTGACATCATGCTACCATCAATGAAATGGAGCACCTGGGATAACGTTGACCTGTTGCCCATCCTTCCCAAGCACCTAAGCTCATTACAAGGCTGCTCTCTTTATTAGGATCACTTTCACACAGGTGTTTGGCACAGCTGTTGCCCAGAGGAAACTGTCCACTCCACTCCTACAAGGGCCTCCTGCCATAGCTCCATTCCCAGTTGGCCATTTCCCTCTATATCCAATAATGTCATGAAAATCAACTATTCTCTTGCAGCTGGACAAAGGGTAGGGTTAGTTAATTTTGTTGAAGTATACTATGAGAAAAGAACAGCTGCTTAGTCCCACCCTAAACACCTATTCCATTTCACTAGCAGGAGGGGAAGGGGAGTGATTGAAGATATGACTTTACCTTAGCCATCTCATCCAAGGTCCCCAACTCTGTGAGCCTTTGCTTCACATCTGCTACGCTGTCTCCAGTACTGGGTATGGCAGCATGCTGGTCCATTAAGAATTCAATATCATCCTTAAGCTAAAGATATGGAGGGAAGAGTTGGCTGGCATGTGTAAATTAAAAGGTACTTTCCTTTATAATTAAGTCTCCTAGAAAATATGACTTTATAAATATCAAGAAGGAAAAAAAGCCTGCCCAAGAGGAAAAAAGGTTTTGCAACTACAACTGTAATAATAAATAAGAGATGCCATTGTGGGATATATGGATGTTGCTTATGCATCAGAGGTTGGAGTCAGAGAAATAGCTTTCTTATTACTATTATTATTTCCACAAAAAGCCAAGTGGAAACCTTAAGGCATGCAGTCTTGGGGGCTAGATGGAAGTTGAACAAAAGGGAATTATTATTAGAATAAGAAAACACTCTTGGTTGGTGAATAGACTAACTGGAGGAAAACCAGTTCTGAGGTTAACATAAAAATGGGTGTTCCCAAGTAAGGGCCAGGGTGGCAGAATTGTGGGAAGTGGGAGATGTAATTAGGGGCAGAGACTCACATAGGGAAATTAGGTGCTTCGGATAAGCTATAACCTCTATATTACCCAGAAAATGGGGAAACAGGGGAAGGAAATTCGAATGGGGAATAGGGAACAAAAAGATATGCATTTGTCATACAGGTGCTCCCACATGCGTGCTCTCACACATGCAGGACACCCAGCCTTCCAAGGTCGTTAATAAAGCTTCTTCCTGATTCAACAATGGCTTCATGGAATTTGTGATATTGATATAGATAACACCATTTTTATACGCATTCATATCTCCTGCAAGCCTCCCAATTAGCCTCTGAGGGAGGTACTACTATACCCATTTACACCGATGTAAATCGATGTAACTGAGGCTCTGAGAAATGACATCACCTGCTCAGGGTCACCCACTTAGTAAAAATCAAAGTCAGCATTCAAACCTGGTTCTTCCCAGCTCCTTGTCAGAATCTTATTCGATGTGGCTGGCCTTAGTGGAGAGGGAATGCTATAAAAACTGTTTAAATGGACACACTCCCTGCCC